CAACCTTCCATTTATAGCGACTCGCGTCCTTACAGTCGTTTGCATATGAAACCGAAAATCGGGTTTACCGTGAGCATTGTTTGTTCGAGCCAAATATACCCATATGCAGTAATGCGAGATGGCTTCTTGTAACTGTGTGACTCTGTAGACTGCAGCCCGCCCTCAGGCTGACAAACTGCATGTGCTGTGTAGTCTGTTGTAGACTCGATCTCGTAGCTCATCAAGGTAGATAGCAGGCTCTCCCTCAATAACTGATCGCACGAAGTTCATATCCTGCATGTCGAGAGTGCGCGGCCGGCCTCGAGGTCTAGCATTCGGGTTGATGACTGTGCCGTATTCCGTGTAGAGTCGGAGAACTTCGAAGACTGTGCTTATGCTGCATCCCGCAAGCTCAGAAATCACTCGGAGTGTCTTGTTTTGCTCATGGTGCCAGACAATGATACGTTCACGTAGTTGTCGAGTGAGGTGAACCAGCCAGTCGATACTTCAAGTTCGAGACGTCGATGAATGCTATCTGACAGTCACGCAGTCACAAGAAGCCATCTCGCATTACTGCATATGGGTATATTTGGCTCGAACAAACAATGCTCACGGAAACCCGATTTTCGGTTTCATATGCAAACGACTGTAACTTTGTAGGGAGGATTGCACTTTCTAGACCCGATGGCCCTATCGGGTCACACCGTCCCCTGAACCTCTCAATACATCTCTGGTACCTGGTATAAATTGAGTGTCTATACGCTGATTTGCAGTATATTACTTTCCCAGAAACGCAATGACCGAGACGTTGCCTAATATCCTAGGGTCTCCTGTGATCATTGCATTTTCTGATCATACCCGAGAGCTCTGTCCATGCACATATGTTGTCCGCATGAGCTCTCGGAATGCCGTGAAAGCTTTGCGAGCGCTATTGGAGCTATGCGCATCCTTCCTGCTATTAGACCCACAGACTACCAAGTTCCCCTGCTAGCGCTCAGGAGTGTACCCGCTTTCGAACGCACAGACGAGGTAAGCGCCAGTGTATCTGTCTAAGCCACTGCATTTTCAAGAGGAAAGCAGCTTTCCCATTGGTATCTGCTAATGTCACACTATTGATTGATTCTATGTCAATGACCGTCCCGGTTGCCGATTTACGGAGCACTCGAGGTATGCGTTTTCCATCACCTTCAAATCCGAAAATCTTGGCTATCTTGACCATATCATTTGCTCATTTCGCTTACCTGTGCAGCGGAATCACCTCGCGAGTCAGCCCTATTTTAGTCCGTTGAAGAGATACCACCGTACGTTCTTCGCGGTTCTTGTCTCTGTGCTGATCCGTGTGTAGCTCCCATTGCAGACTGAACTCTCAGCAAGGGCTGCGTACTCCCACTAGGACATGGATCACATAAACATAAGAGAGGCGATCGGCGTTCAGTTTCGCGGCTAAGAACGGCACTCAGCTGCTGTGGGCAACGTGTTTCCAAGGGCCTAGCTTGCAAGTGCACTGCGGCTCACCATACGATCAGGACTCAGCGGTCGCTGCGAATTATGATTGAAGCATGACCGTGACACCGGGATCGTGTCGCGATTTTTGTGGAACTGTACTGTCCACTCAGTTAGTCTGGTTTATGCTATAGGCAGTACTGATGGAGACCACATCCAAAGGTCTGCTGCACCCCAGACTAATTAGTCCTTAGTACGGCAGTTGAAGGACATATGTACGACGCAAAGTTTGTGTTGATAAATCGTGCCGAGTCTAAGAATGTGACGGGTATCCCTCATGGGATTGAGTTTACTCGAGTAGCATTCCTGATATCAACCGAGTCATACAGGTCTCCTCTGCATTTTCAATATCACGTCTCGGGGACGTCTCCGAACGCACTTGAGTCCGGGCACAGACATCCTCTACTTAGACCGACTCCCGTCTCCCGAGGACTTCATCTTACGATGCCGCCGGCAACGCTTGTGCAACGCGCTTGCAGTATGGCATTGACTCAACCTCCACCTTCACCGTGTACGTCCACCCTGGCAGGCACTTTCTCCTTGATTCCGGCCATACCCCGTCTACGTCGGACTCCTGGGTTGCCTCAATCCCTTCAAAGTTCAAACGGTCAGGATTACACTACGTGCGCCAAAAAACTTGCGTGCCTACTTACGACGCCACACGAGTCGCAGTCATACCTTGGCTGGTCAGAATCGGAAATGCTAGCTGCATGAGCGAGTAACCTGTTTTGTCTATAGCCTGATATGTGGTGCGATGCCTCTCCACGTCAGCTCGACCGGTCTCGCACTGTCAGCATGAGGAATCGATGTCTTTGTACTCAGAGGTCCCGTTTGCTGCGGTGCAGGCTGTTCCTTGTCGCGCCCGTCGGCGAGGCAGTCCTTGACGTCGAAGACCGTTGCGTGTTCTGACTTCACTTACCCCTTGGGATACTCCGCCTTTTGCGCTGTGCAGTCTGGTCGTCGGCACCCTTGCAACTCCCTGGTAGGCGGCTTCGGTGTACCCCGGAAGCAGTACAGCGTGGCTGTGCACAGCATCTCGGCTTCACCCCGCTCCTGCACAGCATTTGCTGCGGCCTGTTCAGAGCCCGATGCAGTGGCCGACTGTACGCTGTGCTTGGCTTGCTCTGTCAGGCCTATCCGAGGGGCACGTACTTCGCAGCTCACTTTCGAAGATTCGGCTGAGTAAATACCATTTTCATGAGCTAACCTGACGCTGGTTTACCGTCTGCCGCCGGAGTATTGTAAGGCACTGAGTCATCAAAATACGAGTCACACAGGTTTGCTGCGAGTTCCGATGGCTGAAAATCCTCCCGAGTTGGCTTGTTAAGGATTGCGTGGACCATAGCGCGATGACTTCGGTTGTGCATGTGGCGGAGGAATTCCTTATACCCTCATGGACACACAACTCCGGCATGATCCGGTTTGGGTATAAAAGCGCTTCACCGAGGGTTGCGGTTCGCAAGCCCCGCCAGCCAAGCACCAGTCAACAGCTCTTGATACACAAGTCGATCGGTGCAATGACAATTAATTCGCAGCCGAAGAAGCAGCCTCGCATGCACAACGCCGACCACATTTATCGGCTTATCGACCATGCACTCGCCACAAGATATGTACAACAGATCCTACCTACTCAAACTGCAATCCGGGTGAGCGACTCACCACCGCCTGAGGGTCAGACGCGGCAAGCACAGAACATCATGCGTCCGAGGTATGTGCTGCTTATTCCAAACCCCATGGCCACAGCCTAATTCTTTCCTGCGTAGAATGGAGCTACGCGACACGCCGGGGTCTCCAAACTTGGTTGCCACATTCGAGCTTCCGGGAATGAAACGGGAAGAAATCGGTATCGAGGTGCGCCCTGGATCCCTCGTCGTCTCGGGCGAGCGTAAGCCGCCGGAGACGAACGACGCCACGACGTTCCCCATCGACGAACTCAAGTACGGTCCATTCCACCGGGCCTTACCCCTGCCCAGGGGTGTTGACGTGAGTCACTTTGCGCCTCCGACAAGGTAGGGTCTAGCTAATTCGAGATCCCAATTCTTCCAGGCAAGTCAGATCACCGCATCTATGAACGATGGCCTGCTTGTTGTCTCGTGGCCACGTTCCGGACCCGAGGATGAGCCTCAGCGTGTCCAGGTTGGATGATTGGGTTTATGGGTTGTATTAGCTTATGTCAAGAGATAGGAGTGCTTCATCTGTTTGCGATTTGTTCTGTAATGATACACCACTCACTGTCATGCTCACCCTCGTGATTAATCTTCCTAGTGAAATGGATATAATCGGGACCGTCATTTTTCTGTCATAGCCTACTATACCCCTGTCATTGTATTGCTAGAGCCTTTGTTACATCCTTCCCATGTTTGTATGACATCCTTGTAATCTACTGTTCTTTTGATCTGCTGTGTCGCAATGGACTTGGGACTTCCGTCCCCTGATACTGCCGCTGCTCCTGGTCTACCGCTCACGACGAATTTGCATATGTTGATCCCTGCTGGGCCCCTCCCGGTCTATGGGGTTCCTGTGATATTGCTGGGAATACGGAAGAGAAGGAAGATTCCTCTCGGTCATGGACCCACGGTATGGAGATAGAGCGACTGAGACAATGCAATGGACAGGGCATGATATCACCGACCACATTCCGAGGATAATTCAATGACCGCTACCGATCATTGACGTTTCCGCTACGATTGCTTTGACATCAGATTATAGGGAACCATAGGCTGGTCATATTCTTCTGTTCAACGAAATGCAGTGTCTACGACTTCGAAGCATGAAGCACGATAGCAGCCCTACTTGGGGCAAGCTAAATCAAGAAAGGACATTATTGACGCAGTGACTCACCGCGTCTCTGTTGCGTGATCCACATGGATGTTTGTTGTACGGATCCGATCTGCGCCTTGAGTCACATTACGACGGAAGATAAGGTAGGAATCCCGCGGAAGATCGGGGTCTTAAGGTGCCGAGACTCCTGTTCCGCGAAGGAAGGACACCATGGACTCTCCACCCCCAGGTTGAGTTGAACGAGAGTACGACTTTGCCGTACCACACTGAATCCAATAGCTGGCGCTGACGATCGGACCCCGACCAGCGGACGATGGACGGCGGAAGTTAGATATTCACAGTTCGAGTCATTCGAAGGTCGAAGGTGCGAAGCTGTTTTGGTCCATTCTTGAGGTGTGCTAAGCCGCATGTCGAGCATCCCTCCGCGGCGAGGTGTAGTACGTGTGCTACTCGGCCGCAGTCACGGTCCCATGTAAATGCGGCAGGAACTTTCCCATCCCTGCAAAATGCCCCGCAGGTTATACATGGGCTATTCTGTCATTAGTGGTTGCACACAGGTGTACACAGTGACTTGACATACCTTGCGGAATATTACAACATGCACGGACTTTCCTTCGCTCGGCCCATCTTGCGAGCACTGCTTTGCCCAGCTAGCGCCCGCAGTGATAAATTCCCTACGCAGATCGTGTTTATCGCAAACGCCAGAGTACAGGTACTCCTAGGCTGCGGAGAACAACTCTAAATCAGCCTAATGAGGAATTGGAAAATCGAGCCCCCAACTTCGGAAGAGCCAGCACACTTGCGCTAACGTGCTAGAAAGGATACGTATATATGGCGGAGAGGCTAAGGATCCAACTTCTTACTCCTAGGTACACCGGCTCAGAGTGTCAACTTCGAGGCATCGGAAATGAACACCATCCTATTGTGGCCTTTTGGTGGCTAGTATGCAAACCCGAGTATAGCGAACGCCGTACGAATTCCGAGTTGGTACTCCTTTGTACTTGAACTAGTCGGAGAAAACCGGGCCGACGAAACAGCCTGAGGTTAGGGGGTGCTAGGCAAGGGCGTCTGTCAGTACGGACAGAAAGGTGATAATCTCCGCGGCTAGCTAGGGTCTTGATGATTATTGCCTTAGCTGATACCAATAGTCGCTCAGCATTTCTGAGCGCTGAACTGACCGTCAATCTCTCGGCAGTCTACGTGGGATTATATACAAATGCTCCAGAGAACGAGAAGATACAAGATAAGCACCGAAGCATGTAACCAGGCAAAGCAAAACAGACTGTTCAATCAGCGCTGCTACTCCGACAAATCTACTCTCCAAACCTTGATCACTCCTGCGCGATCACCACTGACGAAGCCTCCACGGAAGGGTGAGTCGATGCATGCCAGCGCACTAATGATATCTTGATGCGCCTTCAAGAGATTCTGCTGGCTATGATTTATCAAAGACATTCGCTGCGGCGGTCGGTTGCTGAGGCTTCCAGAGTTGGGGGAGGCTACCCAGGTCTCCACGTGGGTGGTCCTGCTGGACGACTGAACAGTACTGCAGAGGCAAGTCAGCTCATAACCCAGTGACCAATCATACGCGGACGAACTTATAGGCCGCCTTGTCATTCTCTGCCTCCGTACTACTAAGCACTGTCGTTCGATCAGGACGGCCAAGGTCCCACAAGCGGAGTCTGCGATCCTCTGACCCGGTTAACATGAATCCTCTGCTCGCTCGCGCCGGCGCGTCTCCATCGAACATCATTCCAGCATCCGCTCTGTGACCGGCGCCGCCAAAATCGACTCCAGCCACAAGACATCTGATGTCATGCGAGGGCGAGCTCAGGAAAGTCTCCCGGGACACAGATTGTGCTGATGTCCCTGAACGACGATTTCCGTTCTGCTGACGAGCCTGAACAAGAGCGGCGATGGCAGCAGCGGGACTCTTGTCGGCTTCACTACTGTTCGAAGTCTCGGGATCTTGAATCGGAACGGCAGGATTGGAAACTGTTCTGACGGCGTATGCTTCTACTAAAGACGTCTTTTCCACGTCCCACACCTCAATGAGTACAGTAGGAGCGCCCTCCGAGGCAGGTCTGGAAGACTCAACAGCCACCATCACCCATCTGCCTCTTCCTTTCGTAGGATGAAGAGCACACTGGTAGATCCTGGGAGCTTTGCCCCCAAAGGCGGCATTGACTTTCCAGCTCTTGAGCAGAATCCCGAAGCGGAGATCCCAGAGTGAGAGGACACCGGTGGTGGTACCGAACACGACCCATGCACGTTTGCGGTCCAAGCACATGGTGGATATAGGTCCATGGTGGCGGGGATTCTGCATCGACTGTAGAATGCGCATTGTCCGAAGATCAATCAACCGCGCGAGGGAGTATGTAGTAGCGTAAACCAAATTTGACGAGGTATCTACAGGTAATCCATCAGTTGAACGGCTATGGAATAGAGAGAATATCAGCGCACCAGTCTCGAAATGGGTCATACAGGTGATGTATTCGCCAGGATGATCAACTCGATGCTCTCGAATCACTTGCAGTTTCCCGTATTTCGGCAGCGAACCACTTTGGCTAACGTGGACACGCACGACATGCAAGCTTCCATCCTCCCCGGCACTAGCAAAGCAGTGAAAACCGTCAAGCATACAAACACATTTCACCCTAGCGTGATGCTGGGAGTACGTATGTCGAGCTTTGCTCGTCACGTTCCGCTCCAGTCTTGCTGTGTCCCAAACCCGAAGAGTCTTATCGTCGGAAGAAGACACGAAGAACGTATGGTCCGGGGACACAGCCAGACCTGTGATACAGTCCGTATGGGAGGTAAAATGGTGTATCAGCGTAGCTTCGGCACGTCGGGAGCCGCTGTCTCGCGAGGTGTAACTCTGTCGCACAACATTCCGTCGTCGTAGTGGGCCTACATGCACACGGGGCCCGAAGTCGCTTTGTAGATCACGATTGTTGTCCAGATATAAGTGCTCCAGTAGATTGTTGATGCTAGGCTCCTGCCCGTCTGATACAGGGATGAGAACGAGGTGCCAGCTCAGGCAAACGAAGAAAACGCACCGTAAGAGGATACCGTGATGGCTGCCGGGACGCGGCTCCGATACTGCTCACGGATAGTTCCAACGGGAGATGACCTGCCTGACAGTTCGGGAGAGCCCTCAGACTGAATCCTGCTAGCGGTCTCAAGTAAGCCAATAGCATTGGCCCTTGAGGACCCGATAGCAGGAGCAGCCTTCTGGAGATCACCACCAACGTTCCATTTGTGGACGGTGCGAAAGGCCGAGGAGCCGGCTACGGAAGTTATAGATTCCGTGGGGCTACTCGGGCGATCGAAGGTAGGAGGAAGAGCAGGCGCGTCCTCAGAAGGGCGCGGCCCGGCGTCCGGCATAGGAGATAACGAAAGGCGATGGTCTCTAGAGTTCAGGTTTACTGTCAAGGAAGAAGTGGAGCCATTGATGGTAGCCAGCCGTCGCCGCAGGTCTTCGAATGGAGTGCCAGCCGAGCCATGTTCACTCGGTAACCTGCGCGGAGAGATTGGGGCCAGACTTCTAGGTGAATCCATGAAAGACCTTCGAGGTGAATGGGGGACAACATCGGCAACGCGAGCCTTGAGAAACACTGTTCGCGGAACGACAGCAAGTTTCTGCAGCTCAACGTCTCCCGTCGTTTTAAGGACTTCTGCCTCGACCTCAGAGGCTGCCCGAGCTTGGAAACTGACAACGTTCAGTTTGTCTCACGGGTTCAATGATGCACTCCACTTACCTTGCAATCGCATCCGCTAATTTGGCTAGATAATCCCTCATTGCAAGAAGCTTCGCTTCCTCCGCCTGGGTCATACCTAGTTGTCGTAGTCTATTCAGTTGAGCTTCATCTCTATCGCACAGTGTAAGCATCTCCTTGTATTTGGATGGAGATTACGAACTCTTCAGATCTGTTCCGCATGCCGTTGGGTGGGATAAACTTTCTTGATGCAATCATGCTATCCTTAGGGGATTCCACTTTAGAGCGCGGTCGACGGTGACCTCTCCAAAATTGTGTCTTCTCCGCTTTCATGGCCCACTGTACTGCTGAGTCGAAGATTTGCCTCATGAGCTGCACCCTTAATCAGCGATGTCACATGTGATTCGGAAGGCATGCTACTAACGGGGGTCTTCATTGCTACCAACAGGCTACGCTCTTGGATGTCTCGTACATCGGATGTCAGAAAATGTCGCAAAGACGGATACAGGATGCACCAGACATCCGTAGGGGGCAGATGCTTGGCAGCGGAAGCAATGAAAGCCGCAGCACCTACGATCTAACAGTGAGAGTCCGATGCACTAGGATTCGATGCGAAGTTACCTTGACGTATCCATGCGTTCGGATGATAGAGGAAGCCGAGTGTCGCGCTCATCAGTTCCCATATCCTCATCTTCTGGAACAGTCCTAATTCGCATAGACTAGTGAGGGATGAAAGAACCTTGGCAACAACGGTCTCCTCCACGTCTGTACACTGGTTAGTACAAGCAACTGACGGCCTAAAGGATCAGAGATACCGGACAGTGCTTGGATCATGAGCGGCAGAATATACTCTTCAAGACTCTTACCGCCCACGCAAGCTGCTACATCAACTATACTCTCAAAGAAGGCGTAGCGGAGCAGCCACTCGCGATCATTTAAATATGTTAGCATGTGGCTCAGCAACACATCGTTCGCCTTCTGCCTTCTGAGGAAGATGCAGAGCGATGAGATATTGTGTAGGACAGCGCGCTTTACGACGCTCGAGGGATCAACCAGAAGCATGGACAAGTGATCTTGTACAACGCTTTGTAAGTCTTGCATACTGGCGTCATAGGAGACCTGCCGGTGAAAGGGGTGAGAGTGTCGACAACACTTAAGCTGCATTACACACCTCGAAGTGAGCTTGCTCTTCTTGAACATCCACTGATAGCCTGAAAGTCCCGTGAGCCCTCAACGCTTGCCCCATTTCCAGATATCGAACAGCAGTGTCAGCTAGCGGGGCCATGCACTGAGCGTACACGGCCCTGACAGAGACCTCCGGATCCTGGAGGAGGTGGGAAATATTCGGAAAGATATATTCGGGGAAAATCGCAGCATTCGACGGCGTGATGACCGTCACAAGCATCAACTGCATTGAGTTCAGTAAGCAACCCAATTTTACTACGTTAGTTAACGTACCACTTGCATCAAGGTTCGCAGGGCTGCAGCTCGCACACTTGCTGCATCGTCATGCAGCAGGTCAACGATATACGGCGCCAACCTGTCCAGCTTTGCTTCATCCGTAAGATGCGGGGATAGGGCTAGGAACACGTCGAGAGCCCGAATCTTCGAGCTGGGCCGCAGGCAATTCCGAATATTGGCGCATATTAACGAAAGGAGTATTAATGCCGGACCATCTTGGCCATCAGTTCTAGTTGTGCTAGGATCTTCCGGGTGGGCGAATGCTTACCTTCGAACGCAGCCTTACGACCAGAGAGCGTTGAAGGGAGTAGTTTGGAATCACGGTTAGGAATATGCAACTCCACAGGAAATACATCCTGCGCATAGTCTGTCAGGAACTTAACCGGAAAGGTGTACCGATACGGACCTGAAGAGGCTTATAAGACTCCAGCAGCCCGTTATAGTCCCATTTCACATCCGGTTCGGCGGCCTCCTTGTCGCCATTCTCGATAGTGAGATACGGCGCCACGCTCTCATAATCCTCCCAGATTCTGTCTATCCGGTGATCCGAATCATTGGGTAAAGCAGCATTCACATCATCTGCACCAGTGAGACCGGTGGCGGCTGGATTGAGCTTCGAGCCAACGGGAGCGGTGGAGGGCGATGGGCTCATAGGAGTCGTAACAGGGGTCGCTGGAACTATGGCACCAGCTGGAGTCGGGGCGAACGGAGATGGTGTGGGTAGCTCGTTGATAGACGAGACGTAATTGTGAAGGAAGGAATAGAAGCACTCGGGGAATACGGTGCCCCTCGAAGTATGGAGTAGCGTATCGAATGTCGGCCTTGCAGACGGCTCCAGCGCAATCATTTGCTTAATCAGGCTCTGCTTCCCAAATTGGATCAGAGGGACAGGTGGAGGACGACGTTAATGATGTGGAACACACACCCTAACCCCTTCGTCCTCGATTGCGCTCAAGTGCCCATCTACACTCAGCTCCCCCTCGCGGTACTTGAAGAGCTGGCTCAATGTAAACAGCGGCGCGCCTTCGAGGAATAGCTCCGCGATGACGCATCCGGCACTAAAACAGTCCATCGCCTCTGTGACCTTCCCGTCTCTCTTTCCATCGCTTTCCTCTAAAGCGAGCCTATGCTTCAATTTACTTATCTCTGGGTTGTCTGTCGCGGTGTAAAAGCGCTCGGGTGCGATGTAGCATGTCCGTCTGCCCGAGGTGTCAAAGAAGAAGGAGAAATCCGAGGGGTCGTCCAGAGGGAGATAGGTGGGCTTGTAGGAGGCGAAGTCGGAGATATAGACCCAGTTCCAGGAAGTCACCAAGATGTTCTCGGACTTGATATCCCCATGAGAGACCTTGCGATTGCGCGCGTCACGGAGTGCGGTCAGGAGTTGGAACGCGATCCATTTCTTCTCGACCATACTCAGGAAAGGACGAGTACTGGGAAGGTGGAGCATTGCACTGAGCTCTGTATGCTAGGAGTGAACAGACGCACCTGATGCGATCGTATAGGTTACTCGCTACCCATTGACGAATAATATACGCAGCCCTCTCTGTCTCCACGAAGGTCTGATATCCATAGACATTAGCGATATCTTGTAGCTGGTCTCGTTCAACTACACGAGGGGTTTAGCATAGATGCACAATCAATGGTGGTGCAGCATACTCTTCAATCGCTTGTGGTAGTTCCGCAGACTGACTCCTGGATCTGGTTTGATGAATATCTTTACAACGAGGTGCCCGTATCGGTGGCGGCATCTGACCGTCTTCAGAAAGCGAGCAGAACCGAGGCTTCAATCTAAGTCAGTGCATTAATCATGCGCGTCTCGCGGAAACTGCGCACCTCTTCTCGTAGACAATGTCATTCCCCAGCTCCGCCACAAACGAATCGAGGGCACCCCCCGTCCTAGTTAAGGTCGATCCCGATTGTGCGTTCCCCATTTACGCGTAGATATCTTCCGAAACAAACATTGAACGTTCGATTTTGGTCAATTCCAAAGCTGTGACTGACGAGGCTACACTATCCATACTGGGATATGTTGTCGGCGGTTGCCGGCGGCAGTCAATCCTCTGCCTGCCTGGCACTAAAGAACGTAGTGCTCCTCCCCCCTGGATGGGATTCAATCCTCATTCTTTTTTCAATCTACACCCAAATTTGTTTCTGGGTAGGTATGGAGTGCTCATGTCAGCGAATTCCCAGACTCTGGCTTGCAAACATCTCCATTACTGACGAATGCCACAAGCATCCATATTGGGACATGTTTCCGAGTTAATGCGGACTTCCGTGGTTTGTGCAGTTAGTGGTGTATACTTGCTGGCCAACCCAGACTGAGACTACTGACAGGCGAATCATGAATTACCAGATACGTTGGTCAGTGTCTCTCATCATTGCATATGTACAGCAGCTGAAATCTCCTGATTATGCATTGTGCGTCCTCCGTGTAACTTTATTGAAGTACTATCCGACATGTCCAGGACTCCAGGTGGAGCTGGAGATTGAGCTGAACGAACCGGGCAAAACTTACCAGGACTCGTACGTTAATGAACCACCCACAGTCTTCGTCGGCATCGTAATCTGTCATTGGCCTGGGCTCAAATGTGCAATGAGGTACCCCGACCGTCTGCCCGACTGACTTCTCTGGGAGACCAGCCACTAGGAGGTGAGTGGCACACTGATACGCCGATCGGCTCGCGAGAGTCATAAAAACGGAGCTGAACACGCTTCTTCGTGCGCACTATACCTTCCGCGATGACGTTGACCAATGTGCTTCCGGAATCTGGGGAAGCAAAGAAATTGAACTAGCTGCGAAGTGTACTGCTGTTGCCCGAAGGCGTTCAACCAATTGGCAAACGCCTTCGGGGCAACTTTCAGCCAAAAAGAGAATATACAACGCCTCGACGGCAGTGGGATGGAGGGAGCCCGCACAAACAGCGCTGGAATATCAAAGGCTTTGTGACAGCAGCATCCCCCAAGTCCGAGATAGCCCATGCACCTGAATCAGGACATATATTCCAACACCTGTCCGAGCATTCAAACCTACGCATTCGACAATATTCTACCTACCAGGCAGGAGGTGTTGGAAGCCCGAAAGAACCGCTCGGAGTCTGTCTCAGTCAGCTGAGGACGGCTTCTCGTGCCTGCAAAGGGACCTCGGAAGACTCGCAGCTCTGTATTATTAGTAGAGGAATAGACTATTTTATCCTGCCTTCTCGTGCTTCCGAGGCAGTTGTACCATTCCAAGCCTCGCTACAATGAGAGAGGCGATGAAGTCCTCGCCGACTGTCTGCAACTCCTTAATTCCGATCGGAGAGCCTAAGCCTCGGATGCAAGATTCCGTAGCAGTGGAACGCCGCCTCCGAGCGCAAATCCCATCTGTTAAGCACGGCAGTCGTCGGGTGAAATATCAAGACGACGGCAGGGACAACAACTGCTACAGAAGGTTACAGAAAGGCCAAAGACGAGCTAAGCGGCGCCCCGTGATTCGTTTACCCCGCATCATACCCCGCATTCAGCCCTTACCATATCGGTGCGTAGCAGCGGGTCATACACTCTGCCCAAGAAAGCCTAGGTATCACAAGCCATATAAAGCCCCTGTTAAGACACCCATGGACGTGAGTCGCTGATGCCCAACGATTTCCCTTTCGCCATGTCTGAGCCCGTCACGAAATTCAAGCCGCAGGCGTATCCCTCCTCCAAGACCTTCGCGCGCCAGTCCGAGCTTCCGAAGCTGCCCATTCCTCCGCTCGAGGATACGTGCAAGCGTTATCTGCGAGCGCTAGAGGGGCTTCAGGACACAAAGGAGCATGAGAACACCGAGCGAGCGGTCGAGGACTTTCTGCGAGGAGAGGGGCCACGATTGCAGGAGCGTCTGGAGGCATGGGCTGCGAAGAAAGATAGGCAAGTATGGTACCACCGCATAACGGACACATCAGCTGACATTGTATCGGTGTAGTTATATTGAAGATTTCTGGTATGAGTCGTATCTCTCACACTCGGACCCGGTCGTACTCGCGCTCAACCCATTCTTTGTACTCGAGTAAGTCGCTTTAAACAATTCCGAAGCAGAGCTGACTGTCGTGCTCCCGTAGAAATGACCCCTCTCCTGACCGTGGCGCGCAAATTCCCCGGGCAGCATCGTTGATAACGGCGTCGCTGGGCTTTATCCACGACCTGCGCCTAGAGATCCTCGAGCCCGACACCATTCGCGGGAAGCCCCTATGCATGGATCAGTATAGTAGGCTCTTTGGTACCGCCCGCATCCCGACACACGTAAGGCTGCAATTTATTCTAAACGACTGTTTCTGAATACTTTTACGCTATATCAGCGAGGCTGCATGATGGTCACAAACCACGAATCACAGCACATCGTCGTCTTGAGACGTGGTCAATTCTGTAAGAATGATCCCCTTGTCCCATGCTGCAAATCCTACAGCTAGCTTTGTTCGACAGACTGGTTCAACGTTCTCGACGACGAAAACCGCCCGCTCCTGACAGAGCGCGAGATTCTGCGGAACCTTCAAGCGATCGTATCCGATGCGGACAAGACGCCAGTGACGGAGGTCGCGCGCACCGCCATCGGCGTGCTATCCACTGAGAACCGCAAGACATGGTCGAGTCTCCGGACAACGCTCATGAAGGAGCGCGACAACGCCCAGTGCCTGCAGATCATCGACCGCGCACTCTTCGTCGTGTGCCTGGACGATGCCGCGCCGGACACGCTCTCTGAGCTGTGCGATAACTTCCTGTGTGGCACGTACAATCTCGCGAACGGGGTACAGATCGGTACATGTACCAATCGGTGGTACGATAAGGTTCGCCGTCGTTATCTTCTGATTCGGTAGAATGCTAACACAATTCAAATCAGTTGCAAATCATTGTCTGCGCAGACGGGGCGGCCGGCATCAACTTTGAACACACCGGTGTGGACGGCCACACCGTTCTCAGGTACTATATACACAGTTTCCACGCCCCATCCAGTGCTGACAGCGTTGTAGATTCGCCGCGGACATCTTCACTGAAGGTCTCATGCTCCTCGCCCGGTCTATCAACCCATCAGCTCCAACGCTCTTCCGCGCCTCCCTCTCCCCGCACGCAAAGTCCTACAAGCAGCCCAGGAACTCCAACAATAACGGCAAGCCGCCGACGCCCCCGCCCGACATCATCGACACGACGCCGAAGAAGCTCGAGTGGGTGCTGACGCCGGAGCTCAGGGCGGGCATACGCTTTGCGGAGACAAGGCTCAGCGACTTGATCTGCCAGAATGACTGCCAGGCCCTGGAGTTCAAGGGGTATGGGAAGAACTTCATCGTCAGTCACGGGATCAGCCCGGACGCGTTCGTGCAGATGGCCTTCCAGGCGGCGTACTTTGGCTTGTATGGTGAGTGATTCTTGCTGGCTTTGAAGATTTGAATTATTGCTGACGTAGTACAGGGAGAATTGAGTGCACATATGAGCCGGCCATGACCAAGTCGTTTTTACACGGAAGGACGGAAGCAATACGCACCGTGCAGCCTCAGAGCGTCGACTTCGTCAAGGTAGGTTGCCCGTGTCCGACAATGCAGTTGAGACTCACTGTGGTCCGTAGACGTTCTTCTCAGACGCATCGCCGTCTCAGAAAATCAGTGCCCTCCGAAAGGCCTGTGAGAGACACGTGAAGCTTACAAGAGAATGCAGCCAAGGTCTTGGCCAGGACAGGTTAGCATTCTCGCTTTTTTGCCGTGACTAGCCAAGCTCACGTCTATGTAGGCACCTCTATGCGTTGTACTGCCTACTTCAACGAGAGATTGAGGGTAACCTCGACCCTCTGCCCGATGACAGGCCTCCGTCTCCAGCGAGCGACACCAGCAGCTACGTGAAACGCAACATGCCGGCGATCTTCACGGACCCTGGGTGGACGGTCCTCAACACGTCGATTCTGTCCACTTCGAATTGCGGGAATCCTGCCCTGAGGCTGTTCGGCTTCGGCCCCGTCGCAAGGGACGGATACGGTATTGGTTATATTATCAAGGAGGACGGCATATCAGTGTACGTGGACATACCTTCCCCAGTGACAATGCCCTCTAATCTGTCTGGGGTATAGATGCGCCTCGTCCAAGCACCTCCAGACTCGGAGGTTCCTCGACACGCTCCAAGGTTACCTCTACGACGTCCAACGTCTGTTGATCCAACTTCATCTCTCTGCCAACGAGCGTCCTGCGCCATTCATTGACCATGCTGGCGTCCTAAGGGACTCGAAGACTGGCAGGCCTATTAACGGGCAGAGTGTAGAGAGCGAGGAGAGCGATGCAATTATGCGTAAGTCCCAGACCGTTGATTATATTGGCATGAAACTGATGTTCCTTTCGCCGTTGAAGCTGGCTACTCGTTCTTTGACAGTGGAGATATCGAGCTATTGGGTCGCCGGAAGCGGTCGCCATATGAGCATGTTGGTAAGTAGTATTGTGCATTCATCTTTCTGTTGTAGGCGTTGCTCATGCTTCCTGGCAGGGAGAGTTATACCCTTGGCGGAGTACTGACGCTGTTGATCTATATTTTGTTCAGATTCTGTTCCTTTCGTTTGGGTTCCTTAGGTGCCTGTTATACGCGACCTGAAATGTATGTAATTTGTGAGAATACCGCCTGTTGTACTAGTAGTTGTACCTTGTACTGCTCTGTAATTGCCAAAGATATCACTTCGCATCTGATGGTGAGGTGATGCATTGAAGGCGTCGTAGAAGGGACGACCAAATGAAGCTGTCATTTATTCATTAGTTCATAGACGAAACGCGAAACACGTCCATTAACATGGACACAAGGAGAATGAAGCTCGTGTCTACAGTTTGGCAGAAACCTTCGCCCCGTTCAGTGGCGATGGTTCTCGCAAGAACACGCGATAGTAATTCTCGAGCCAGCTAATTGCTCTTTTGCCTCCCTCTTCAGTCCCATCCCACTTAGCAACGCTGCCCACATAACCATCAGGCCGGATATTCACGATCCCAACCTGACCCTCTTCGACGCCCCCCACCCACTTGTCCAAGCACCGCATCTTCTTGGTGTCCATTTCCGGCACGTTATCCAAGTAGAACGTCCATCTGCCCTTCCGCAGCAGAGGTGGTAAGTCTGCAATCTCGACTGTGTCTTTGGGTTGTGCAGTGACAACACCGAGTGTAAAGAGATCGCCGGCTGCTAAGTACCGCTCAGGACGCGAGAATTCATCATGGGCTGCTGCAGGACGTGGCTGACGCATGTACGACACCCCAGCTGCAGCGGAGACGCGCCCTAGAAAGGAAGGTGACGAAGACATCGGGGTAAATGCAGCAGCGAGGTTGGCAAGGAAGGGCGAAACAGACTGGACGGAGGCGCAGAGAATGAACACACGGAACTGCCCTAAGTGCGGGATATCGAGCTGCAGGTCGACCGGGTTATGGTCCACATAGCGCGTCACCTTGGCGGGCGTGAGCAGCTTCCCCGGCTTGCAGTCGCCAGTGACCTGAGCTGACGATAGATGCTCATTCAGAGGGCCATGGTCATAATCCGCACCGACGCCACTGATGAACCGCGTGTTGGTTGCGAAGTTCTCCACGAGCTTCTGCGGGTCGCCCGCGGAGAAAGCGGCAGCATGCTCGTTGTCGAAGTTAATGAGATCCAGCGCGATTTTGCGGCGCTCGGCTTCATAGGTAGGCAGAAGGACGGGAGTAGCAAGGCCACGCACGGCGAGGTTCAGTTTCCATGCGAGGTTCCAGGAGTCGTGCATGGAGACGTTCATACCTTGGCCAGCTTTGGGCGAATGGGTATGAGCGGCCTACAAAGATGTCGGTGGTGATAGGAGCACTAACGGGAAGAGCTCACGTCACCACAGATGAATACTCTCTTGACCTCATCCGTGAAGCGGTTGGCAACTCGTTGGCCAATTTGATAGAGCCCGAACCATTCTACAACTCTTTACACCCGTGGTTAGAGCAATGAGAATGATATTCACTCACCAATAGTCTTCCACTCGAGCTGGTATGGTTTGAAGATCTCCCGGGCGCAAGTCATTACGAAGTCTTGGTTCGCCACCGCCTTCGTAATCTTCTCATTCTGATTAGTGGAAACGAGCTCGATGTACAGCCGGGTCATATTGCGCTCCCTGGGGATGCAGAGGACTGTTCCGTGCTTCTCTGAGTGCACAATAGCCTTGCTCCAGAGGTCGGGGAACTCTGTGTCTATCTCGCCATCAAGCACTCCCCATATAATGTCTTTAGTCTCTCCGACCATGTCCGCGTCGCGCATGCATCGTCGTACTTTCGAATGTGCACCGTCACATCCGACCACATAAGTCGTCTGTAAATGCCTCATAGAGCCTGTTGCAGTATCCTTGTACTCGACGTTGATAGACTCTCGGATATTCGTTTGGCGACTGTATTCCGTGAAAGTAGCATTGCGTGTGACTCCGACACCATGCGACTTCATGTCAAGCAAGAGCACATCCTCAACCATACCTTGATGCCCTAGGAGCATATAAGGGTCGAGAACATCGATGATTGAAGGTGAAGGATAATGCGTCTCGCGGCCTGTCCTCCGGAGAGGACTCCGGTCTGAATTCTTACGTTGAATACACTCTCAGTTGAGAACGGACATGGAGAGTAGTGCACTCTGCGCACCCAAAATGTCATGTCATAAAACTTTACGCCATTCTGTAACAGCGGTTCGAGGAGCCGCATCTGCCTGAACGTCTCCAGTGTCTTGGGTTGCATCCCGTCGGCACGCCCGGTCGAAGTCTTGTCGCATCGTTCGTCCAGAACCTCCGCCTTCACTCCAAATCTCGCCAGGTTGGCTCTGGTGCGATTTGAAGGGCTCGCAGCACTTCTAAGAGACGAGGCTGTGACGAACTCACCCTAGCATCAGCCCTGAAGGGCCGGCGCCCACCACGACAACGTCGCACGTCTGGTCGACCATGTTCAAGTCTGCAAGCAACACATTGATCCTGATATCGGTGTCATACTGTCAACGCAGCGCCGACGGCAAAAGGATATCGCCTTCGCACGCAAAGATAGCGTTGAAGTTTACTTCCATCTTCTTCTACGTTGTCGGCATATACATATACAGCCGTTGCTTCGCTGACGTAGCTATAGAAAAGGAGGCACGGATTTGCCACAATTCCCACTCAGCGTGTGGCAAAGATCCAGTGGGCACGTGATGCGTTCTCACGATAGTTGTCGCTTCAGCCGCGTCGAACTTTGTGGCACTGGCAATTCACACCTACGGCCTGCCACTCTGCTAGTCGCGTTGAGACGCGCAAGTTCTTCTGGCGTGACGTGGCAGACTTTACTGGATTTATTATGAGCTCTGGAATGAAGATTACGATCAAGCCACGTCGTGGACGCGGCCGTGGACGAGGCGGCGCGTCCGGCTCTACGAGGACAAAAGCTGAACCTGAGTCAGAACCAGAAAATATGGAAATCGACCTCGAAGAGGGAGACGGGGCACACTCCGCCGGTGAAGGATCCGCAACGCCTCATCCCCCATCGGAACCCGGCGTCAAAGAAGAAGAAGCGTCTGAGGCTCAGGATGAGCCGACAGAAGGAGATAGAGAAGGCGAAGGAGAGGGTGATAACGACGAGGCGGATATGGCCCCGGATGAGCCAGACGAGATGATGGAGCCGACTACGCCCCTTCCTAGGGGAAGAGGTAGACCAAGAGGGCGTCCTCGGGGCACTGGAACACCCCGTGCTCGGGGGCCGGGAAGACCCCGCGGCTCGAGAGGGCGGGGGCGGCCACGAGGGAGAGCACTTACCATCCGGTTGCCTAAGAGGCCAGGTGAGGAGGGAGCAGAAGGCGAAGCTGACAATGAGGCGGGGGATGATGTTCAGGGGACCCCTGCGGCTGAAGGCGGTGAAGAGGGAGGAGAGAGGCCGGAGCCGGTTGGAGGTGGCAAACCATTCAGGAGGATAAACGGGAAAGTATATATCATCGATGGGGATGAGTATGTTACGGAGGACGATCCGAAGGGAGACACGAAGATAGATAAGAACGGTAACCTGTTGGGAGGTGAGCAAGCTTGGTTTCTCGATGTCCGAGAGCTAATCTGCTTCCAGGGCGCCGGTTCAAGGCTCAGACCTTTACCCTGCCCAATAGACACCCAGAACGGCAGTATATGCTGGCTATTGATGCTGCTCGTACATCCGGCTTCAAGGACTCATTGTACTACTTCCGTCGAAATCCCCTCACTTTCAAGCTCAACGCCACGCAACCAGAGAAAGATTACTTGATAGAGCAGGGGAAGTTGGGGTCTCACCTGCGTACTCGCAGTGTGACTTTGATCACCGCAAGAAGTGCCTATAAGTTACACGGCGCGAAGATGATCATCGGTTCGTTTATTAATCCTTCGATCCTAGGATACCTTTCCTGACATGGTTCAGACGGACGCTGGGTGGTGGACGACTACTACGAAGATAAGGTTCTAGAAGAGATTACTGCCAAGGGGCTCAAACCAGGGGACCTGGTTGGTGACCTACAAGAGCCCCATGCTGAATCAAAGGACATGCTCGCCGTCGCCGACCGCGTAACGAAATCCGACCGCCCTGGCGGTGGCCCGAGCATGTACCGCCCCGGCGGGCCCACGACCATCTTTGGCGGTTCCGGATGGGGCCCGTTCAGCGAGGGCCCTCTCAATGCCGTGAAGAAGTCGATGCTGAGCCGTGATGGCGTGACCGAAGAAAACTTCATGTTCGTAGCAGCACAGCGGACGATGGAGGCCAGCCGGGACTGGGCGAAGCTGAGGAGGAATGTACTGATGCCGTGTGGCGGCATCCTGGGCGAGATTGGTGGGGGTGGTGATGAAGAGCAAGGGACGGCTGGGGGAGAGCGGCCAAGAAAGAAACGGAAGAGAATCGAGGATGATCTGCCGCTCGGCGTGTACGAGCCCCATTCCGGTGTAGTGCTCTGTGAGTCGAGGCGGCCGGTGTGGGTATTTGCATCTGAGGTGCTGACTTTGTATGCAGATCGGACGGACACTCAGCCGACAAGGAGTCGCTGGGAGGCGATGCCCGAAACGGAACAAAAGAAGTCGGTGTTGGGAGGCACCAAAACGGGCAACGGAGCGTGGGCGCTTGCTTGGGTAGACACGGTTATGGAGGTTCCCCCGGAGCGACCAGAATCAGGGCCCCCTATAGACTCAACCTGAGGCTGGGATCAAAGTTGCGATGTTCTGCATATTTGGTATGATATCTCTTCCGTAATCTGACGTCTCGTGGCCACTTCCTGTAGCCGCTGTGGTGAGTTGGAGGTGTATGTACTATATTTTTAATTGATGCGTAGTTTTGCCTCGAGACGGCTGGGCTGGGTCGTGACGACAACCGGCGTGAGCTCGTGAGCACAGGCGGTGATGAAGCACTGCTTGAGCTCACGAGTTCAGGCTGGATGGCTGTGGATCTATGATATCCTGGATTCTCATTCCCCTTGAACGGAGTCGTCGCTGGAAGAACGCAGTATCGCGGACGTTGGTACGTCGGAATTCGCATCCACTACCGAACATTCGCTTTGTTGATTCTCCCTTCCGCCGTCTCTTAGCCCAGTAGTGGCAATGATGCGTTTTGGTTTCCCTGCGTGGCCCCGCCGCTTGACAGCGAAGGACTTGCAGCTGCATCAGTCGCTCTTATACTGTGCCCGCTCCGGTTGGACAGCGCTTTGGTCTGACGTTTAAAACGACGATGGACAAGTTGTTATCAAGAGATCCTGTGGACTCGGATCACATTAGCAGTGTCCGAGATGCTCTCCGTCGACGCATCCGACGCATGCGCAACCGCTACGCCCAGCTCGAAGCACGCCGCTGCTACGAAGGTGCGAACTCAGACAGGAGCCAAGATCCTCTGTGACCGTTGTCGCCGCCTCTCCAAATGCGAGAGGGGCCTGAAGAACCATATCTCATACTACCACGATCACGGAGGCGGAGTGTCAGTTAGCTTTTGCTTTATTTGTTTTCAACTAATTAATATATCGAGACTGACGAGCGAATCGATTCGGCAGAATGCACAAGTGCCCTGTGTGTCGTTACACTACAAGAAACAGGCTGGAGCTTAAGCACCATATGCTTTCACAGTGCTTACCCTTTCCCATGTCGCCGTTCTCAATCACGGGCTGTTTACATCACGGATCCACTAGTTTTCCGCCCCCAGGAACCGGCCCCGAGGAAGCTGCTACGTCGCCTGCCCTCTCTCCTATGATCCTCGTGCAAGATCTTGACGCGGGTACTCAGGAAACGCGCGCCCTCCCAGAGAATGACCCAGAGGGTGAGTTGGGATCGTTCTATGCTTGGATGACCCTGTGCGTCTCAGTACAGAGTCCTGCTGGGTCTCCGATCTCGACACCTCGACGCCTCGTCTGCCCCGACCTTGACTGAGGCCCCCTGCACTTGGTGCTCTTCGACGATTCCTTACCTGCACTCTGCGATGGTTCCCTCGATACGAATCCCCGGAGAACTTCGGATTTGTTATATCTGTCTCTGTTTATGCTCTCCTATGTTGCTGCCAAGTCCTTCTATGCCTGCCTATGCTTTCGAGCTTACCTCTATGTGCTCAGGCTAGGTCAGCTACTCTCGAGTCGTTTGCCTCGGCTCTGTTTTTCCTCGTATATAATCATCGAATACGAATAATCCTGCCGGGCCGTACACAAAGTCCGAGTACACCCGCGAAGAACTTGTAATGCAGATGTCAGTACCTACTCGACAACCGTGACTACTCTGCCTTGCGCCAGCTGGCTCTGTGCTGTACCACGTTACCGTCGCAAATGAACTACCCGCTCTACATCGGTGTCCTCTCACTTTGTGACTGAGTTACCACCGACGATCGTCAATTATCCCTTGCCTTTACTCCAGCGATGCTTCCCTCCCTCCGGACCTCTGGCAAACTTTGACTTGCTTGTCATCACATATGTCTCATAAGATCATGCTCTCCTATGCATTTCTGCCTGACCCTTCCATGCCTGCCTCTATGCTTTCGTCCCTTCTGCGCCTATTACTAGAAATTCGAACCTTCTACGTCTCCGTGCTCTCAGGCTGTCTCAGCTACTCTCATGTCATTCTCTTTGGCGCTCTGTATTTCCAACACATCATATAGACAATCCTCCTAGTCTCTACGCATCATTGCGTGCATACCACTCGATGATCTTCATGGCTGTTTGAATCTGCTCTTTCTCGAGCGGCCTTCTACCGTCACATAAAATTGTGAGACTGTCTCCTCTCTCCCTCCACTTGAGTGACACAGCCATGCTCCTGCACGAACACCCAACTGCGCACTCTCGAGGTTCTGGCCGGCTGTGGCCGGACCCTCGCATCCACCGCTGACTTAGGTTCTCCCTTCCGATGCCTCCTAGCCCGCCTGTGGCGATGGTACGCTTTGGCCCACCTGTGTAGCACCGCCGCTTGGCATTGACGGACTTGCCGTTTGAATCAGTGGTTCTTATACAACACCCACTTCACTGAAGGTAAGTCACTTTGCGCTTTGGCCGCGCGTATAAAACGACCACGAACAAGACGCAATCGAGGGGATCCTACGTAGTCGGAGTACATCTGCTCAACTATAGTAACCAAGATGCCCTCCATCGGGCGCGTCCGACGCAACCGCTATCATCCCTAATACGAAACCTCAGCAGGTACAAACTCAGACAGGGATCAAGATCCGTTGTAACCAATGTCGCCACCTCTTCCAAAACGAGTGGTCTCTAAAGAAACATATTTCGTACATCCACAGTCTCGGAGGCGGAGTGTCAGTCTGCTTTTTTTGCTCTCAACATATCCCAGAGACTGACGAGCAATTCATCTATTTGCCAGATTGCGCAAGTGCCCTGCGTGTTCCCACACTACAAGGAACAGGGTGGAGTCTGAGCTGCATATGCTTACACAGTGCGTACCTCCCTTCCTTTGTCACCTCCCTTGTCACCTGCTGACATCCTTCTAGTGATTTGTTTAAATTTCCGCACCCAGTGACGTGCCCGAAGTACATGCGCTCCTATGTTTCGTCCTCCAGAACCGACCTCGAGAGGCATCTCAAGGACCACCGCGGGCTGTGCGTAGCCCTTCTTATCATATACGAATCTATTTCGGTTGAGTGTTCACGTTCTTCACTAGGCTGACTGCTGCGCCGCCCATCCTCTCTCCTACAATTATTATTCAAGATTTGGACGCGGATACTCAGGAAACGCGCGCTCTCCCCGAGTCTGACCCGCAGGGTGAATTGAGCTCAATGTCTATTTGGCACAAGATGTGCGCCCCCGCTTGGTCTCTGGTCTCCGCACCTCAAGACTTTGCTTGCCCCAACCTTGACTGAGTACCCACTTGGCGACTTTCAACATGTACAGTTCCTGCCCTACAATCGGGCTCTGCCCCGTGATCATGATACTTACCTCCCTGTGGATCTAACTTGTCTCATGCCTTTCTCTGTCTATGCTATCCTGTGGTGTTCTGCATGGCCCCGTCCTTTATGCTCTCGGGCTGTCTCAGCTATCCTCATGTCGTCCACCTGTATTTCGGATATATCATATACAACCATTCATATAGACAATCCTGCCAGCCTGTATACTAAAACACCCTACTCGACGACTCATATTGGTCTCCGTCTCGCTCAGGTAGCCCTCTCCGGTCACCGCTACCATCGGGAATGGTTCACCTGCTCTACTCATTCTTCGATTACTTCGGACGGAAAATGCGTGCGGCATCTGCTTTTGTGCTTCGGCGCTGTACATGCTAACGTCAACTCCGGGAAATTGGCGTTAAAGTCTGAGCTTTCAAACTTATGCTCTGGGGACGATTCGAACATATGAGTAGCATGGGCCGCTGCGGACCTCAAGGACGTACACCAGCTTTGTACAACCCTAGAAGGTCCCTGGCGTGCCCGGTCATCCCAGTCTTCCAGTCCTGTAGCAGATATACAATTGATCTCGTGGATGTTGTCGGATGAGCCTACGCCTTCTTGCGCGGCTTAGACGACCCTTTCTTGCCTGAGGAAAATAGATTTGAATCAGCCTAGATATCAACAAGAGGCGCCTGCAGATCCTTACGCTTTTTCCCTGGCTTGACTTGCGTGTCCTCACCGTCACCACCGTCGGGGAAACTCAGGAAGCTCAGCTCATGCTTAGCACAGGACTCGGTGAATGGTCCTTTACGCGTTGACGCGAGTTCCATACGTTCGAGTACTAGCGACAACGGGAAGTAAGCCTTGGAATATCCTCATCTGACACAAAACGCAGACACTGACTTCGAGACTCAGAGGGCTCGGAAGGGGGGTAAATAGCCTCCATGCGGGTCCTTACGCTTTCAATACATCTGCATTCATACTTGTAGTAAGTACAGGTGTCTCGGACGGACGGAGTGACGTAATACATTTATATTATACTACAGGAGAAGATGCAGGACGGAGATCAATGAAGCTAACGCACTCTGCACTGACGAGCCCGCTCGACGCAGCAACTTCCAGAACGGTATTCCAGCCTATAGGTTTTACTCTGTTCTGCATGCTCTTCTCAGCGAGCGGGAAATGAGCAGCAAGTGAGGATAAGAGTCGGCCGAGATGATCAGAAGTAGAGAAGACCAGGGCGTCCACAGAAGCAGCAGGCAGTAGGGTCTCTTCGTCGTCAAAGGACCCTGCTTCTTCCCCGTCATCGGAAAGATGTGGAGGAGCCAAGGTGCCCTGCGCTTGAAGCGCGTTCACAGCCAGCGAGCGCACTTCGTCTTCGAGGGTCCACTCCGGCACGGGCACGTCTTCGGCAAGCAGCGGCCATCGCGTCCAAGTGTCCCTTTTCCGCCGCTTCGGTCCTGGAGCGGGAGATGGAGAAGAAGGGACAGTCGACGTGCCAGTCGCTGCTGCCTTAGCCTTGCCTATGGACCGCGACGTAGAAGGACCAGCTTCGGGTTCATTGCTGCGTTGCTCTGTGCCCCGGTCTCCGGTGAGCGCGTCACAGAGAAAGTCGAGCTGTTCCAGGCTCATATTCTGCGGACGCCGCTCCTCGTCGTCCTCTGAACTGGAAGGTTCGTCAACGGAAACAGAGGGTCGACGTTGTGTCAGGTGGCCCGTCAAGTCGAGGGTGTTATGCGTCCGCAGCGCGCGCAGCAACGAGGCATACTCAGAAAGCTCAGAGTGCAGAGCAGCGGGCACCAATTTCCGCTTCGTCGCCATTGAGAGCGGCGACGATGGGCACAAGTTGCGAGTTCAACCAAGCTTCAGCCACAGGTGACGCACTGCCGCTATGACGCATGTGGGAAGCTTACCTCAGCAACTGTACAGCTGCTGCCAGCCTCTATGACGGCTCGAGTGGCGTAACGGACCTTCAGTCGCTTCTTACACTCGACAAGTGAGTCCCCGTCGTTGGTCGTGTTGTTGGCGCAGTACTGACCGCTTATGCCTGGCGTATATCAGAATGAGAGAGAAGTGGAAGAAAAAGCGTTCCAGGAGGCTGAGGCGTAAGCGCAGAAAGATGAGGGCTCGTTCCAGTGCGTATTTCCGTCCGCCGGTAGTACTGTCGCGTCTCACACATCACCCGCCCATTTCAGAGTAATCGCCCCGCCAGCTTCTGGGTGTGCCTCATAAGGCGCAGGGCTTCAATCCAGCGACGGCATAGCGGCACGTGCCTATGCTCGTAGACAAAATCGTTCGCGTTGTCGAAAATCGCGCCCTCGCCTTGTTTGGTTATCCCTGCCGTTAATGCTCATGACACAACTGGGGCGTCCGGTCGTCCGATGGTATGGTCCCGTGTACTGTTGGATGTGTTAGCTGTGGGACTACGAGAGCTTGGTGTGTGTACCGAATAGTTGTCCCAAATGATATGCCGTTCTCGTGATTGCTGCGCTTGAGCTTAAGGATGAGTGTCGGAATATGCATGACTGCTCCTCTCTGCAGTGTTAGTGTGTCGCAACAGTATCGGGGTAGTGTAGGTCTTCATCTGTCCAATGCAATTGACAAGCTCGTTGGCTCCGAGGTAAAGCTTCATTTTGTCTCGTTTTCAATTCATCTATCTGGTCTAAATATGATTCCTCGTCCCTGCTTTATATTCAGAATGCAGCGTGCACACACCACGGAATTGGCTGCAACGTTTATCGACCGAGAAGACCGATCGCCGACTTGTGTTCAGCTTTCCCACCTTGTCACAGCCCGGTGCGTACCGCACCGATACAGGTACGTCTTGCAAATACCTGCCTTCGCGCCGTCTAGCAGCTCAATTCCAAGGTCAGGTTAACGTACGAATTCAAGCGTTCTGGAATATATACCTAAGAATCCCCGACGCCAACGGAAGCGACTGCGAGACATGGACGCTGACTCGACAACCTGGGCATCCCTGCCGACCGAACTCTTACTACATGTCCTTCGCCTGTCTCTCCAGTGTCACCCCACTCCTTCAGCTATCTTACGCCTGAACTACTCGATATACCTGCTCGCGTACCCCTTGCTGTACCAGAATGTATGCTTCCGCTCGACGCGGGGTATGGCCGAGTTCGCTCAATGGGTCGACGGCCCCGGGATGTCTGCAGGGGACAAGGACAGACTGCACCTACCAGTGAGGATCAAGACGATTAATGTCGAGAAGGTGAACGAGTACGGCGTGTTCGATGCACTGAAGGGTGTGTTTGAGCGGAGGATACGGTGGTTGCAAGCAGCTGAGAGTGATCAGAAGGACGAAGAGGGGCTCCTTCACGGACGTATGGATGGGCTTCGCCTTGACCCAGAGTCCCCCAGAACACATGAGCGAAAGCCCAAGGTACAGCAGGTCGAATTGGACGTATTGTCCCTGTGTCTTCATTCCCATACACGGAACCCGAGACTGGAAGCGGTGTACGAATCGTTAGCACTAGTCAAGTGAGTGACCCAGCCTGATATCACCGCCCGCTCTGTTCTAGCTACCAACTCAACTGATTGCATGTGTCCAGCCCCATCAAGTTCATCTGGACAGGTCCCGACCCGGACCACCACTTCTCCACAGCCGTACGTCCCCACCCTACTCGTCGCCAACTTCTCTGTGCAAACGGCACACACCGCTCTCCCTCCCCGCAGATCGTCCCGCAAGCGACCTTCCACCTCTTCCAGGCGCTGCGGCACTGGCCGCGCCTCACGCACCTCAAGCTCACCAACATCGCGTTCCCGAACTTCGCCTTTCCCAACATCGTCTTCTCCAGCTCGCCGTTGCTCCCGAACGAAGCGACGATGTCCCTGATCGTCCCCGCGGGGACGCAGTCGCCCTTGCCGAGAGGGCTGACGTCGATATATATCGGCCAGGCGACTTTCGTGCCAGCGGAGCTCATCGCGAGGATCGCGTGCGCGGGCGAGGAAGGTGATAACGGGCTCAGGGAGGTCCGACTGGTGGATGTGTACGTGGAGAGCATATGGGAGCGCAGGATGCGCCGGGGCGATGTGGAGAGGGCGGGGGTGGAGTTGCTACGGGGGTGGTGGCAGGAGGTGCGCCCCAAGGGACAGTTTGAGGGTGATGAGTACGAGGAGAAGATGAGGAGATGCGAGGAGGAGGTTGTCAGGAAGATTCAGAGCGTTGTGCGGTGCGAGGCGAAGACGGAGAGGATTATGGGTGGGGACCGCGTCGAGAGGGTTGGGATGTTGGAGTAAGAATTGTATCAGTATTGGTATGTAGCGGTAGTGTACATTGTGACGCGTATACGGATTGAACCAAGTCTCGACGGGCCTTACCCATCTGTGCCCGAGTAAAACGAGAGTAACTCCCTGGCCCGCATTGCGTTGATATTTCTGGACGCGGTTGTGGAATTGCTCCATGAGTAGCCGATACTGCTGGATCTCTGCACTAATATCTTGAAGCATCCCTGGGGCGATATGTGCCAGCAAAGACTGTAGGGTCCTGACTGTCATGTCCAGAGCCGCTGGAAGAGAACGCAGATCTTGAATCATATATTGATATTCATAGGAGGCCCCTTGACTGTCGCTGAGATCTAGAGCCTTGAGAATGGTGTGGGCCAACTGCGCCTCAGTCACGCTGTCGCCAAAGGAGCCGAATGTTATCGGGAACATGACATGAAGGGAGGGGGGGTCCTGGAATACCACGAGACTCTTGACATACCTTTCCGCCGAATATGGACCCACAAAGAGCATAGCCTACAAGCCTCATCCCCAGTCATCCCCCCGTCAGATGCCCACACACAAGTACACAGCTTACAGCTGATGCCGAACTGTGTCCATTGGTGAGCATGAACAACATGAGCACTCTCGCTGGTTATCGTCGGGACATAATTGCCACATATACCACAGGACCGCAGAATTCGCCATTCAACCACTCGGATGATTCTCCCAGCTGTACGCAGCTCTGCGAGTCCGCATAAAATCAAATCCACAGCATTGCAGTTCAGCAACCGTACAGCACTTATTCCGGTTTTCCACATCGCAGGAAGAAACGCATACAGACGGGAATGTGGTTCCAATTTCGTGGTCGTAGTCTGAAGCAGACCGCAAATACGTGCCGATTGCCTTTAGGACTCGGAAACAATGCCGGCGGCGCCCTTCCGAGCCCTGCCACTGGCAGGTGCCTTCTCCAGGTGTCAGGATACATCCGGTCTTGACTGACCGGATTCTTGTGGCAGATCGTAGCGTGACACCTCGAATATGCTCCTCCTGCTGCTTGACGGTGTCTTTGCGGTGTCTGAGAGTGGAAACATGTGAGTAAAGCAAGATTGTTACCCTTAAAAATATCATAAATCTCATTAAATAATAACATCTTCCCGTATATTCTGCCACCTGCCGGCATTGCCAAAGACTATATCATGACGGCAGACTAAAGTATCTACATCTGCTGCATGGGTACATATAGCCTAGGGTCCAGCAGCATCCGGTATATGTAAGCGTGTGTCGAGTCGTATAATTCAGGTGAGCGCGTGAACGTTCCTCGAGATAGACAGGATCAGAATGAGCTGCAGTACTTGATGGTACCAGTATCGGGGGCTTCGGTGAAGCAGATCCAAACATTGGTCCAACCTACATGAAATGTGGATGTGACACACACACCACCTGAATCGAGAGGAAGGCTATTACGGACATTTAGCCTGTGCAAGAAGAGCGTGACTGAAAGTTACCCCACAGCACGAGAGCGGCATATGTCGCTCGAATGATGACCTGGCCAAGCATGATTCTGGCACACAATTCGAGCATGTCTACCATTTAGCCTGCTGAGCCCAGACGCCGTGGAAAGAAATAGGAAAGTGGGTATCCATCTCCGCCCGAGCCAGCTCCGTCATCTCACGCGCATCAAGCACGACGAGCATGCTCTTCCCGGAATCGCCGTCTAGTACGACGCTAAGAACCACGCCGTCGTCCTCCTGGTCGATGGGAGAGGACCCGGGCTTTGGCACGAACACCGGCTCGCCGGGCGTGTACCCCGGGACGGCCCATGCTTTGGGCTCCGCGCCGGGGGAGTCCATGTCGAGCTTCACGATGCGGTCGGCGAAGGTGGGAAGTGCCGGGTCGGATTTATTGATGCCGTACCTAGTGACAACGAACGCTCACACTAAGTACATACCAGACTGAGACGGAGATGATGGTGACTTACGCGAAACGGTAGGGCTTGTGATACAGAGCGGGGTGGACGGTGGGCAAGTCGATGCTCGAGGTGTGGGAGACGGTATACTCGACCTTCGCGTCCCTCGCGACTTTCGCCTGCGCTCCCTTCGAGCTCAGAACGTCTTCGAGGATGAAGCGGCGTGCACGACTGAGGAGCACGGGATTCTCCGCGCTTAGGTTACGCAGGGTATCCAGGTAGAATAGGTCGATTACGCGGTGGTCGTCGTATATGGCGAGATCGAGGACGATGCCTGTGCCGCGGTCATAGGCGTTGATAGCATGGAACGCGAAGAAAGGTGGCGTCTGATTATCGCAGGTGAGTGATCTAGTCCAGGATAGGATAGGAGGAATGTATCAAGACACCTTGAATTTTGCCACGACGCCACCGGCCTTGCGGTCGATAACGTAGAATAGCGCGTCTCGTTTTGAATTCCACTTCTTATTTATAGACCCGGCGATGCTGCGATTGAATGGGATCGAGGCCCCGAAACTATTCGAGGACGTCAACCAACTAACGTCAGCCATGGACAGTTTGACAAGACTTACAATGTGAAGTCAGCCTGCCAGACACACAGTACGACATAATTCTGGGTCATAGCAAACGAGTGCAAATATGCAGGTGGCGCATCAGTGATCTCGGCGAGTATGTCGCACTCATGACCTTCACCGTTCCGTGTGGGGCGAAGGCGGAAAACCTTGTAAGTAGGCCTCGGGCCTAACTTTAGAGAGTAATTGAAGAATTCGCCGGTTTCCTTGTCCCGGCAGGAATGTGCGGCGCTTAATTGACCATCGAGGCGAGGGTCCAGCTCCTTGTACGTAGTTGCGTGCAGAGGTCGCAGTGTCTCCGAGTCGAGGACCTGGAGTGTGTCTGCATCCGTCTTGGCGACCAGATACCGCGGGACGTTCTTGGGAGAGGTGGTGGATAAGGTCGACGCATGCGAGGCAAACCCGGGCATGTCTGGAGTCAACGTCACGGAGACGTTCACATCGTCCGGAGCACCCTTCCTGGGGGACGGCACCTGGGTTGCGCCCGGGCGAAACATCGTGAAGAACTTCGAGAAGATCGTCTCGCAGGGGTCCTGGTCGCCAAAAGAGACGCCCACCATGGCCCCCGCCTTCTCCAGGCGGGATTGCAAACCGAGTGAGGTATGGTGGCTGCGATACAGGACGGAGCCGGACGGCGTGATGTCGAAGCGATGCGCCATGCCGAGTCCATCGAACCAGTGCGCAAGATTCACCATTTCGCCAGGGGCCTTTTTCGAGGGCACCCTGAATGTGCCCGGCCCCGTTCGGTAGAGCCGACCGGTTAACCAGGGAGGAATCTCGCCCTTCACTCGGAGAGTGACAGGTTCACGCTGCTCGACAGCATTCTCGAACCCCACCGCATAGCCAGCGTTGGACGGCGTCCTCGACTTGAGAGAAGACATGAGACGAGGGAGCATGAATATTAGGAAGATTTTTCAGTCCCGTCGGGCGCTCTCGCAGTGGAAATTGGATGTACTAGTCACTGTGGAGGCTTGGGTCAGGCGGAAGGTTCAAGAGCAAGCCCCGTGGCCTTGAGGTTCCAGTTGCCAAAAATACTGCTGCGGCTGGACAGCAACATGCAACATACCGCTCGCGCCTATTTACATGGCATGATGGAATCAATGCGAGAATGTAATCTTCATCCATATGAAGCGGAACTGAAGTCCGGGGACTGTTCGGAAGAGCATAGGAAGCGTAACCGTGAGAACCGGCCGAGGTGAGAAGTATGGCAGTGAAGTATGACGAGAAGTGTCTCCACAACGTGCTTTACTGCGTATCTCAAGCTAGTTCGTCCCAATTCGTCCCCGACTGATTCCAGCATTGTATACGCCGCTTACTGACCCTCGTACTACCAATCAACTGTCATGGAATACGCTATGCTGGCTGTGTTTGCGACGGAGGGGGCAAATAGCCGCCCACGTCCATCATGAGCAGCGGATGGTCGAGGAGAAGCCGATCCAGGTGAATCGATGTAGTGAACCCACTTCATGAAATGCTGCTCTAGCAACTTGAAGAAATCGCGCATCGACAAGCAGGACATCTACACATAGTTCATTCCGGGAATGCGCGACCGCGGTGTCGTCTGCCGAGAGTCGACCATTACTCGTGACAAGACGAGGCTTGTAACGTTATCCGTTTCTAGCGATGACCCACGCTTTCAGATAGCCCACCATAGCAGTATTGCGCTCTATATCTTGCGAACCTGCTCAGGCCGAGCGCATCCGTTTCACTCTGAAAGGTACTAAGCATCAGAGGCCTCTCTCGAACTCGGGTGGAGTACATCAAAACATGGATACGGGTTTGCAGATATTGGACGCCGTCACCCTTCGATGTCAAGGCTGATTGACCAGAGCTTACTGTTACGTATCATCAAAGGACTGCCCATTGACGTGAGCTATTCTTGCGCTGACCGGAGCCGACAGTGTTGGACTGAGCATCTCCTTTCTCGGTAGTGCCCATTCAAGGGCCTGGCAGGTTGCGGTGAGCTGGAATCTCCGTTGGAAGGATCTCTGTTGTGCCCCAGATTCGTGCCTCACGACCCGACATCCCTATCACCGCAGAGGACTTGTCTGACCGTACGATGATCATTGGAGGCGTGATCTCGGCTTCATTCATGCAACGCAGGGTCCTGCAGCTCGCGAGCTTCTTGCAACATTCAAGAGATAGAGAACATTGGCCACATGCTGTTACTCCGCTGCATTGAACTCTGACAGCTACCTCAAGCTGTCAAAACAGTGGTACTTATAAACCCCTGCTCGAGCTGTGACCACTAAGGGCGTCCTTGATTCACGATGCTTGTCGCTGCGAATCCCGCCCCATCGTACACCAACCCCGACCCTCGCGCCGTGGCGATCGTCGGTGAGTACAAACTTATTGAGCACTTGCTGTCCCAGCTTGCACTAACGCGTGGTTCATTACAGGGATGTCAATCTCTGCTCCCGGTGGGGAGGGTGTTGACCACGGACTGGACACTGAAGAATTCTACGAGTTCTTATCTCGGCGCGGTATAGGGACAATTAAAGTTCCTGCAGACAGATGGAACGCGGACGCCTTTCATGGGACAGGCCCTGGCCAAATTTGCACGGTCAGCGGGATTGTTGCCTCCGATAACCGCCATCTGACCAGCAATCATTCACTCTTAGACGACAGGTTGTTTCATTGCAGATATTAACTGGAATGATCCTCAAGAACTCGGTATCAATGCCGACGAAGTAGGTGTTTAGCCTCGGATGCGGACGCGCTTACAACTAGGCATGCAGGCCAATCAAATGGCGATTACTCAGCTAGGCGCCCTCCACCAGGCCTTCAACGCGCTCCAGCGCTCTGGTGTAGATTTCCGCGGCACAACAACTGGTGTATACGTCGGCTGCGCATCGCCAGGTCGGCCCTGCGAGCCCGATCCTACCGAGTGCCGGGAGTACTACATGACCGGCAGTTCCTCGAGTATCGTCGCGAACAGGATCTCGTTCGTTTTCGATATGATGGGGCCGTCGCTCCCCGTGGACACGGCGTGCTCATCCAGTCTGACGGCGATGCACCTGGCTTTGCAAGCGATCCGAAATGGCGAGTGCGACCAAGCTGTGGTTGCTGGCACAAATGCGATCATAGGTGGGCCGCGAACGTGGAGCTCGGTTTGCAGCTCATGTGCTCATACAATATCACTTCAGGGCCGCTCGAGACGACCAGCTTCAGCGCTCTCGGCGTGCTTAGTCCGGATGGCATGTCGAAGTCGTTTGACGACTCTGCAAATGGTTACTCCCGTGGCGACCTCAGTAAGGGTCATCCAGTAATAATACTAAATCACTCCTACTAATACGTTGACACTTCCTAGTGTCCGCAGTCGTCATCAAGCGCCACGATCTGGCTGTGGCAGATGGAGACTACATCCACGCCACGCTCGTCGGGTCCGCGCTGACCTCCTGTGGGTCGCTGATGGGGTCCCTCACGACGCCGAGCGCCGAGGCGCAAATCCTCGCGATTCGGAATGCGTACCGTGACGCACGGTTGTCTCCGTCTCAGGTGGACTTTATTGAATTGCACGGCACGGGGACGGTTGTTGGCGATTCCATCGAAGCTAATGCTGCCGGATCTGTGTTCTCCGAGGGCCGAAATGGGCGCGAGATTATTATGGGTTCAGTCAAGAGTAATATCGGACATGGAGAAATGGGGTAATTTTTCCTTTTCTATAGTTGTCATGAGATGTGCTAATTCCCACGTGTCTGCCTTCTAGGGCGTACATGAGCTCGCTTATCAAGGTATGCGACAACGGGACAGAATATTAGGCACACTGACTGGTAAATGTCGGGGTAGACCGTTTTCATGCTCGAGAATAGCGTCGTCCTCCCGAACGGCTTCTTTGAGAAACCCTCTCAAAAGATTAAATTCCAAGAATACAATCTCCGCGTCCCTGTTGAGGTCGAGAAGCTCGAACCAGCAGATCCAAACAACGGCATTATTGCCTCCATCTCAAGTTTTGGATTTGGAGGTACATTGCTCTCGTGCTTATGACGGTGGCTAGCAGCTGAATGGTTGATAGGTGCCTGTGGACACACTGTCCTGCGGTCTCACGACAGACGACCAGTCCATAAAGATTTCGCCGATGGCAACGCGAGATCGGGGCCATACCTCTTTGCAATTGGCGGATGGTCCCCGCGAGCCACGTCGCATCTCGTGAATACGTACAAGCAGGACTTCGCAAATGTGTCCCCCTGGGCGTTGTCGGAACATCTTGGATCCCGCGCCCGTCAAGCACCGTTCAGAACATTTGCGGTTGCCGACTCCATCGCCGACTGCAAGTTCCCGGATCCGGTTATTGTAGCCAAGCGACCACCGCATCTGATACTGTCCTTCTCCGGGCAGGGTCCTCAGCACTGGGCTATGGGAAGAGGTTAGTTGATTCGTCGACTTCGTGAGATAGCGCGTAAGCTTAATCGTTGACCAGAGCTATTCTCTCGATTCTCTGTCTTCCGGGAAAGTATATTGGCATCGGATGCTGTTCACCGGGAATATACAGGGAGCTCGTTCATCCACAGTACCGGGCTTTTCCTTCCGAATGCCCCCGAGGACAGCTTACTCGAGAAGACTTTGCTGTGGCCCGCCGACGTCATTTCTGTTGGAATGGCTTTCTTCCAGATCGCTCTTTTCGACCTTCTTACCTACCTTGGGGTGAAACCAGATGCTCTTGTAGGCCACTCGCTCGGGGAGACAGCTGTTCTTTATGCTTCGGGTGCTATGCCTCGTGAGGTAAGCTTGTCGCGTCAGTCCGACCCGTCTGATACTTACATTCGTACAGATGGTAATCAGGATTGCAGTGGCTCGTGGGAGGGCCCTCCGACTTGTCGATGGCATCGGCGGTTCAATGGTCGCTGTCGGCGGCTGTGATGCCGATACGGTCCAGGATCACATAGACGCGACTATGGATATTGCGCCCCAAGGCATCGTTGAACCCGGGGATAGCTTGTACATTGCGGCATACAACAGTCTGACGGACATCGGTGTCTCAGGACCCGAGAAGCTCATTGACGAGCTGACAAAGTTCATCTCCGACTGGGTTGAAGGTGTTAAAGCTACGAAGCTCCGTGTTAGCACGGCCGTCCATTCACGATATGTCAACCCCTGCGAAGAGACGTACAGGAGGGAGCTTGAGGCCATATTTGCGCAGTACCCAGACCATCAGGCACCTTCCATACCAACCATGTCAACGGTGACAGCAGACTGGGTAGAGGAGCAGTACAGCATTGATTACCTCTGGCGGAATCTCCGCCAGCCTGTTCAATTCGCTCCCGCGATCTCATCTCTGGTAGGAAAATATGGTGAAATGACGAGTTTTGTGGAGATCGCTCCGCATCCAGTCCTGACTCCTGTAGGCTTCATATTCTATCTTGCTTTCCATGTTGGACTAATGGATTCACACAGTATCTGAAAGCTCTTGGGGCTCATGAAGTTGTATCAGGGAGTAAGCGTCCGCCCTCGGCTCGGCACCTACAGTCCGGCGTCAAGCCGTACACCGAAGTCCACACTCTTCTGGAGTGTTTCGGTCAACTAATGCTTGCCGGAGTGAATTCGGTAAGCCATGACTTGAACTTGCACCGGCGGCCTCACGTCAGTCTGATTACTGCCCCATCCTAGATGAATCTTGCCCGGCTCAATGGGTGCCAACCGGACCGCGTCAAGGGTCCGGAATACCCTTTCCAGAAAAAATACCGGCCATTTGCCACACTGATCCCAAGCTATGCCGCGAAACGCCTTCCTCGCCACAGGCCGCTGAACAGTGAAAGATTGCGTGTCAGCCCTTTACTTCCAGAGCCTTGGATGGCTGATCACGTAGGTTATATCCGATGTTCCTCTGTTTGATTTCTCAGGTAGCGTTTGCAACAGATCATCGATGGAAGTGTGATTATTCCTGCCGCTGCTTACATGGAAATGCTCCTCGAGTTTCCCAACGTCACCGCTATTTATGACTGTAGTTTCGACGCCGCATGTGTTCTGGATCCTGCTGCATCACCAGTGACTATTGAGGTCAAGAAACTAGGAAACTTCGTCACTATCAAATCATCAGAGGGACTAGAAACAATGCAGGGGGACCTTAGTTGGACTGTGGCTGCGCCTATCTTCGACACTCAACATGCTTGCGGAAAGCTGGGATATGGCATACCGCCCCTTGGACCTCGCACCATTAGCCATGTTGATATTGACGAAATTCTTGCCCGATGCCCTTATTCGCACAGCAGAGAAGAACTCTATGATACTATCTTCGCTGTTGCTCAGTTTGGGCCTGAGTACGGCACTTTCCGCTTTCAAGATATGCGTACTTATACTGAGTCTTGCTCAATTTGCAGATTCAAGCGCATCAACCGGGCTGTCTCGAATGAATGGGAAACCATCTGTTGGATCCGTGGAAGCACGGGACTCAACCAGCGAGAGTACCATGTGCATCCTACAATCCTTGGTTCGTATCACATCCTCGTACCACATCATGCGCCTAATGTCCTACTCTAGATGCCTGTATCCAAGGCGCTATCATTTTCAACCTACAGCACGAAAGGATAAATGTTGATAATGCCAACCGCGAATTCCTGCTTCCTCATAGCCTGGAGAGAGCCTTTCGCAACGACGGCAGCACTACTCCTCTGAATCTTCCCGATGAGACCATGGTTTTGACCAGGCTCTTGGACTGGTCACCAGATCGGTGGATGTTGGATGCGTACATACTTGCGGAAAATGGAGATGTTCTATTCACTATTGAAGGTATACCGCTTGGTACATATCCACTTGCAATATTGCTTCTAACAGACTCGCATTGTTTGACTGCAAGGTATGTGGTTCGAAAAGGTGCAGCAAGGCTCGCTTTGGCCCGAGGCTCGGCTTGCCATGGAGTGGTATGTGAATCCCACCAATCTCTACCGGATAGATCACCAACCTCAGATGAGGCAAACATACGCCCTCCCGAGAGATGAAGTTCTTGCCTCAAGAGTACTGAAGGGTATTTCATCCGAAGTCGAAGAAGTCGCCTTACTCCAGGCACTCGACCGCCTTGCTGTGAGCTGCACCCAGCATTTCGTATCGAGTTTGCCATTAGATTTTGCTGTTGCACTTCCTGACCGACAACGCTACCTGGAATGGTGTAGGTCCCAAACCTTGAAACACGCTGTAGAACCTCCCGAGAATGTGCTCTTCCCGCTGAAACTAAGGGAAAGATTCAGAGTGTTGTTTGAGCTCTCTGATCGGGTAGGCAAAGGCCAGAAAGGTTGTCACGACTTCCTTTTGCGTTCCAGGGACAGCACATTCACCCTTCCCCTCTTTGACAGAGATCTGCTTGGATTCCACGGCCGCCGTCGATATCCTCTTCAGCGACGACATCATGTCACGCATCTACGAGTTCCCTCCATTCAGGGGACCCATTTTCGACTCAATCCCCCATGAATTTGTTCGGCTTGTCAATCGGATCAGGGCAGCAGGAAAACGTGTCCTCCGGATCTTGGAAGTTGGCGCTGGGACAGGCCGTCTGACAGCGATTTTGGGACAGGCATTTAATTCTGCAGATATTGCTGATGTTCACATTGACTATGTCTGCTCGGACATATCCATAGCTCTTGCGCAAGAGGCAGCTGCTCACTGCCCGTGGCTTACGGTGACACCTATGGCACTTGATCTCAATCTACCGCTGGGTGAACAAGGTGTCGACCTTGCCAGCTTTGACATCGTCACGGCTTTCGACGTAATCCACGCGACACCGTCCATTCAGAGATCGATCGAGAGTCTCCGCAGCCTGCTCGTCCCCGGTGGCTATCTTGCTGTCATTGAACTTGATGGGAAGTGCTTCGACACCGAGGCAGCCGGTAGCATCTGTGAGTTTCTCGTGTGATGTATCGTTGTCTGTGCTGATCGCAACACCTTGGTCTTACACTAGGGATGGACTGGATCTTTGGGAGCTTCCGCGAATGGTTTGGAGTTTTGAATATGCGGGGACCTGCGGCTAAGCACTGTACGCTGGATCGGAAACAGTGGAATGATCTCCTATCCCGCTGTGGCTTCTCCTGTTTTTTCTATACCGCAGACAATCAGGCCAACATCGTGGACCACCTTATGTTCTTCGCACAGGCAACTGAAAGCACTACTACTTGCTCCTCGCATGGACAGTCAACTCCAATGGAGGGGGCATCATTTAGTGTTGCATCTTCTGACGACCGCAGTAATGGACTCGTGACCCCCCCAGACGACGTCGCCACAGGGCTTCCATCCCCGCTGAGGACAGATAAACCCAAGGATGACAAGATCTCTGATGACTCCCTGCAGTCTATGAAGCCCAGTTCCCCTCCTACGACAGGACCACTTACCCCAGCGCCTAGTCTCCATGATGTACCATCTGAGTCCGTCTCAATCGTCACTGCGCTCCAAACGGCATCACCGACTCGGGATGCATCGATCCGCACCCTGGTGCACTCCTTTAAAGCCGGCGACGAGTTGGCCATGGTGTCGTTCTTTTCAAGTCTCGATACAGGAATCGACTACACAATCTGGCTCCATGCAACTACGAATGAAGATGATGCCACAATCATCGGCTTGACGCGTTCTGTACGACACGAATTCGGGATGTTCAAGATACGTTTGGCTCTTTTCGACTCAAGCTGGTCGGCTGCTCGTCGGAACCAGTTCATCCATGCGCATCTCATCCCTCTGCCATGGATTGATGCGGAAGTATTGGTGGACAAGACTGGGTCAATCAGCGTTCCACGGATCGTTGCTGAATCCGCCCCATCGACTACCGTTTGCATAGGTGAAAACCCTGTATGCTTCGGAGTGGAGTCACGGAAGGTTACGCTGTGGCGGGCATTCCCACCTCCACTTGGTCCAAATGACGTTGAAGTACAAGTATCTGGAATTTGCATCTCGTCGATCTTCGAAAATACGGCGGAATTCTCAGGCAGGTTATCTGCTCTAGGATCTGAGGTCAATGGAAGCAAATATTACATTGGCCAGAGGTGGGTTGTTGTTCATTTAGCGAAACTTCCAAGCTTATTCAAATGTCCGGACGTCCAGAGTTTGTGGCATTGCATGTTCTCCCAAGGGAAGTGTGATCGTGACGGACGCTTCTCATGTTGTTGCAATACCAGACACCTGGAGCCTCTTCTCCGCTGCTGCCACTGTCGGCCGCATAGCTCTTTCTAGCGTCGTAGGTGCCGTTGTTCAGCCTGCGTGTTCAAGGCAGACTCACGTCATCTTCCATGCCGGTTCCGGTTCATCTGCTGCTGAAACTGTCTATCGGGCAATTCACAGCAAGAAAAGGATCGATATCTACGTTACCGCTGACCCTCCTGTGGCTGGGATCTTCACTGAACACGGACAGGTAGTGGTCCCGACATCAGACACTGCTGCTTGGAGTCTTTCTATCCGCCAATGGTGCCCTGCCGGGTCGCAGTACGCACTCATATTCGATTGCACCGAAGACATTCTACGAGAAACTCTTTCTCTTCTCGGACCGCGTGGTACTCTAGTATGCGTTGGAGTCAACGAATCTGTTGCCCCCGGCAATCTGAAACCATCTCAAAGATTTCTTTCCATCTCGCACGAAGAGCTGGCAAGCGACTTGCCCTTAGAGGACTACATCCCTGACATCGACACCGCCCTGGCTGCGGAACTAATTCCTGCATATTCTGTAGTGTCTCTACGGCACCTGCAGTCGGCGAATGTCCATAAACTAGTTACCTCTCGTCAAGGACCAGTCTTGGTGGATTTCGAGCAGAAGTGTCCGAACCTACGCGTCCTGAAAGGTGGTGTAATGCCTGGCACCCATGCGTTCGATCCCCGCAAATCGTACGTGCTGATTGGTGGCATGGGGAGCTTGGGAGTTGTCCTCGCCAGAATGATCATTGAAATGGGTGCTCGTCATGTGGTTCTTACCTCGCGATCCGGAGAGGTATGTTCTGTGCTATCATCACAAACGTGCTCTAATTTTGTGCAAACAACAGAACCTCCCGGATGGCAGGCTGATCAGAGAAAAGAGAATCGTCCGTTGGCTTCGTAGCCTTCCTGGCGTGCGAGTCGACCTTGAGGCTCTTGATTGTCTTGACGCGGAGAACACAAAAGATCTTTTCCGCTCCCTTCCCAACCCTGTTGGCGGCGTCTTCCATCTCGCTGTATGCCTCAATGATTCATTGGTGGGTTTGCATTCGTAGTGTCACTCGTAGCAATTATTGATCCCCTGCAGTTCACGAATCTCACAACAGAAGAAGACTGGAGCAAAGGTGATACGTACCCTGGGCAGCTATAAGAGACATGGCTTACCTCTAGTCGTCTTCAGTTTATGATGTCAAAGTCAAAGGTTTCCGGATCCTTCTAGACGCTATTAATCACAAAGACGTGGATTTCCTCGTACTTGCATCGAGTATGGCTGCGACCGTGGGATCTCCGGGCCAAGCAAACTATGCTGCGTGAGCATTCATGCTACTAGTCACTTCATCGCGTCGGAAGCTGCTTATCCTCTCTTAGTGCACAAACGTGGATGGAAGCCATCGCCACAAAGATCCCGAATGCGACTACCATTGCAGTGCCCCCCCTTGTATTTGAGCTCCTTTGTCTTGTCGCCGTCCATAACTGAAATAGTACTATAGGTTGATGGTGGTGTGTTCGTCAGGGCAATGCCCAAGGGCAGTCGCAACGCAGCGCTTGATAGATATACTGCCTTGGGCATGAGTGGATATCAGCTGGCACATCACTGCGTAGAAGCCATCTGGTCTATTGGTACTGAGAGACCTATGTCTAACTACATACCTTCCACCGACTGGAAGATGCTGTTGGAACGTGCGTTACTTCATCTTAACGACCTCTGACGCTATACTGATTGGACTGCCACGAAACGGAACCAGTCTCCACCCAAGAATATACGCAATCGCTAATACGACATTTGGTCTCTAAGGACACTACTCGTTCATCCCGGAAAAACAGTGAAGAGCAGACAATTCGGGGCGCTTGTGCCGCTGTTCTCGCATTGGAGCCCTGCGACATCGATGATAGCGTCCCTCTCTCGAGCTACGGCCTCGATTCGCTCACCTCAGTGCGGCTCTCCGGCCTTCTGAAACAGCACTTTGGGATCGCAGTAACGCAAATGCAGCTTCTGGGCGGCAGCATGACCGTCGCCCGGCTGGAAACTATGCGGGAGGAACAGGTTTCCGCCAATGCGGTCTCCGGAGTCCAAGCCTCTGATGCCAGCGACGAGCCCGAGGACACTCTGCAAGAGGATATGGCAAACACTGTCGTCCGTCTGAATGATGCCAAGGAAGGGAAGCCCGTCTTCATTATACATGGAGCCGGCGGAGGAGTTCTCATCCTGCAGAAGATGGCGAAGTTGCTCAGCTTCCCTGTATACGGCGTTCAAGATACCGCAGAAGCTCCGGTCACCGGTACCCTTCGTCGTCTCTCATCATTCTACCTGCAGAAGATCAGAGAAAAGCAACCTCATGGTCCGTACCGGTTAGCGGGGTTCAGCTTTGGTATGTGCATCCCGTTTGCTGGTTGGTGTCAAAGTTCGTAACGCCGGCGGGACTTTGCCAGGTACTGCAATGGCGCTTGATATCGCTGTCATACTCCGGGACGAGGGCGAGGAGGTAGAGTCAATCGTCATGATTGACGGATCTCCGACACTCTTTGAGCGGCCGAGCTTCAGCCAGTATACGCTATCTCAAGTTTCAAGCGGGGATATCCGCAATGACGTGAGTCGTTACGATCCCGAGTAACTGATGGTCAACTGACTCCTTTGCAGATCATGGACATGATCGAAGATATGGCGCACGCCGGGATCTTGGACCACGCCGAGGATCTACCGTCGCAGTTTTCAGGTCATCTTATCAAAGGGGTAACGGGTTCTCCTTGGATTCGTCGCTTCTGTTCTGCCTATACGGCACATCTGCTCATGGGAGTTCGTGCGACGATGTCACGACTCAAGGTTCTCGAATCCCCGTCGCAACAGTCGTCGTGGCCAACAGAACATACCGTCCTTATCAAGGCGACGAACGGCGTAGCCACGCAAAGCTACGTCCAAGGAGCGTCCCCCTTATTTGATCTTGACAAGTACACCAAAAAGGTGAAGGTCTATGAGCTGGACGGCTCTCATTTCAGTATCCTGCACCCGCGTACAGGTATTGCTGATGTTATGGCACATATCTACCAGTAACAGCACGAAAAGGCCCCTATTGTACGGTCGGTGTCGACTCGGTTTCCTGACAATCCTAGCACTGCTGGAGTCTTCGTTATCTTACCTGCGTAGTATCGCGTCTAATATATACGGGTCCTCATACACTGTCATACAGTGTAGCCCGAGGGTGCACATAAGTCAAACTAAGTGATCGTACTCCGAAAAGTGATCACGCTATGCATGTACACCAAACACACATCATGAATATGCCGCGCCCATCTCGAATGAATGGTAAATAGTGCCACCGCCTCCACTGTGACTTCGCTATCCATTACCACCCAAACATTGTCTCAGCATCCTTGAATCCCCACTTCTCCAAGTTCGGCTTTCCTGCCTTCTCCACGAGACCCGGAGGCCCGCAGACGAACACGGCTGTGTCATTAGCAGGCTCGAACATCTTCTCCTATTTAAGCGGAGCATCATTGCAAGTGCATCTATCGTGAAGTAGAAACATCTGCGAACCTTCATCAGCTTTTCGTCAAAATGCCCCGAACCTCCATGTTTCTTCCACTCGTTCTCATTCTTCGGATGACTGAGAACGTTCCAGATCTCAAATTGACCGTCACTCTGCTCCGCGAGCTTATCGAGCTCGTCGAAGAGAAGGATGTCATCTTCCGTGTTGTTGCAATTGACTAGCTTGAGTTTCGTATCGTCCGATCTATCGTACACAATAGCGTGTATAAGCTGGTAATGGGGCGTGATGCCCGATCCGCCTGCGAGGAGATTGATCCTGCTGAATTGGAATTCTTTTCCGTCGACCGTGAATTTCCCCTTGCCAAGATACATGATCTCGCCCATGGGTCCCTTTGCATCGATCTGCTCTCCCACTTTGATGCAATCGAGGTAATTTCCGATGGTACCTCCGGGCGGGAATTTCCCCTTCTCGTCCGGGAAATACCTGCAAGTGAAAATGAACAATCCGTCTTCGTCCGTGACAAAGACGACAACGCACGTCTTCACGACTAGCTCAAACGTGCCATCATCCTCAGAAGCCAGGATAGGCCTCGTCGGAGTATATGGACGAGTAACCATCTGGTCTCTGAAGTGCGCTCCCTGGGTGCGTCAGACTGTGCTGGACTAGGAATGTTCCATGTCTGTACTCACTATGATCACATGATTGCCGATGGGCAGACCAAGCTTACCGGGCTTCCCGTCTTTGCCCTTGGGCATTTCAAAGACGTATCGCCTAGTATCACTGGACAGCTCTTTTCTCTCGATCAAGGTGACTGGGCACCAGCTGCATAGTGGTAAACTTCTGCACGTCCCACTCGCAGTGATGCAGAGGACTGACCTGTATTTCTGCATAGGATATCCTTCCCTTGCCTGAGCGTCCTTTTCCCGAGCTTCTTGTGCACGCTTCGCATCTTCCTAACAAAGACACATCACATAAAATGCTCCTACGCCAGCCTCACGATGCATACCTTCATCAATTCAATGCCCTTCTTCGTGAGCGTCCCGATGTAACACTCATCCCGTTTTCTGAACGATTGGTCAATGGTCAAGTCACTACGGTAAAAGAGGATTCCTCACTGATTAGCATAATCATCGTGGATACTGACAGAGATTCTTAATGAGAAGAGAACGGCACAAAGCGAAGTGCGACGGCCCACCTGTTATAATCGAGCGTAGTCTCCGTATGACATTTGCCGGCATGCTATAGAGGGTAAGCATCGTCTTCGATCGTGTCTAAAGCATGCACCCTCTCACTGGAAGAATGGCATTGGCTCCGCCAGGGTGCCAGCTTAATACGGACGTCACGTCGTACACTTTATTGTTGATCACCTGCATCGACAGGAGGTCACAGTCAATCCGACACCAGAGAATTTGCAAAGAGAGATAACGTACAAGCCAGCAATCATCCTTACTCGCATGCTTTGCCACCTCCTCGACCGTAAACTGTTCATCATCGTCCCCGCCTTCCGCGGCCTTCTCGTCTGCGTCGATCCTCGCCTGCTCATTGGGCGAAGGCTTCATCCACCCATCGTCGGACAACGGCACTGTCGGATGAATCCACTTCTGCACCAGTTTCCCTGACTCTCTGTCCCTGATCATCGTCGACTGGACCGCGAAGATGGAGTTGTTCATCATGCCCGAGATATTCCACGTCTGTAACGAGAGAAGTGCGCATATAAACGCGTCATATGGAGCAAGAGAGTACACCCACGATATGGTCAGGCTGTGTGTTCTGCGAGTATGGAAACCGCGTCATCGGCAGGTGTAAAGAAACGAACGGTCCTACACAACCCCACCTTCGAAACATCCCAAGCTCGACACCGAATCTCCTTCGCCGCGATCATGTCTTCGATCTTGACATCGCAGTACCAGTGCATCCAAGTCCAGTACTTGCGCCCGTGGCGGAGCGGCGCATCAGGGAACCGACTGTACCGGTTGCCACTCCAAAATTACGACGTTGTCTTGTTGAAGGCGCAGTAACGTACCGGAAGCAGTACCTCCACGTCTTGCCCTCGTCCAGACTCACTTCCATTTTCGTTATCTCCGTCCCTCCACCGGCGTATGCGTAACCTTGGATTTTATACTACATAGTTAATACGTCAGCCCGGATACGCCTTAAGGCACATTCACGAAATGAGGAAAGAGAGGCGTTACGCACAGTATCTTGCTCCAGGCTAATCTGCTCTCCATGAGCCGGATGACATATAACACTGTTCAAGATCTGTTCGTAGCACGCCGTGGACGGGTGATGGTAGAAGACCTGTCGAACCAGGCCATTCTACTCAGTCGCACGTATGAACTACCAATAAAACTAAAACCACCTTCGCCAAGAGACTGTCCTGCTCCGTAACAAAGGACGGAAGCACACGACTGCACTCCTTCAGCTGCACATTATCGCATACTAGTGCGTCACTTACTTATCCCATACCTAAACCCAGTCGTCAGCAAACTCCCTCAACCGAGGATACAATCACTGACATGGTACCAATTCTTACTCTCCTCCTCGCTTATCCACACCTTCTTCAACCATTTCACCGCCCGTCCCCCGACAAATCCGGGAATAATCGAGCGCAGCGGGTACCCATGGTCCGGGTGCAGCACCCTCCCGTTCATCTCGTACGCCAGCATGACGTCGTTCGTCTTATCCATTGCGTACATGAAGGGGATTGACGTGCCGTACGGTCCGCTGGAGCAGTTGTCCGCCCCTGATAGTCGATCATAAGACTAGAACAACGAAGAGCGTGTGTAATACGAATTATACCTTCGTAGTGGACGTACCACCTCTTTCCTGGAGGCGGGCTCTCAGGTGCTCCGCACGCAATGAGCAGGTCTCTCAACAAGACGCCCTTCCAGTAGACACAGCTCGTCGCCCCGGCACCCCAGCCATATCCTTTGGATTTCTACGGCACGGATATCACCATTACTTCGCTATAACATAGAGAGCATATACTAGCCTTGATCAGGTTAACTTCCGCCCTCCTATTGCCGTCGCAGGCGATAGTAACGGGGATACAGACTCCTTGCATTTCAGCCAGTTCGTCCATGCTGAAGTTCCTGGCATGCGGCAGGATGTCCGACGGGTCAGAAAACACGTTCAGTGTATGCGTCTCCCAGTTGAGTTTGGGTACTTCGCCTAAGCAAGCGTACCATCCGGAGAATGGCATTGTCAAACCAGCTTTCGCGACAATGAGGACACTGACCGTGACTACGAACGTAATGCAATCTCGTCGGAGTGATCAAACCAGCGTCGAATAGCATACTCAGGGGAGGCTCCGCGTTGAGTGGACTCTTTCCCGTCAGACGGATTAGCGCCGGCGAGCGCGGAATCCTGCACCGCTGTTTAACAAGAGCCATGCAAGGGATTGACACGCCATGTCTCACCAGTTATCTGGGATGAACTGATCATCTTCTGCGATGTACATCTCGAGGTTATCCGGAGGCGTGGGCTCGACTACAATCCCGTCACTACTGAGTTGTCGGACTAAGCTGCAGATGTGGACGGTGCGAAGACCTACTGGTTTCTCAGAGCCGACATGTGTTTCTCTTCCTCGATGATATGGTTGATGAACTCTTCCTCCTCTTTGTTCCTCTGTATATGGTGCGTGACGGGAGTTTGGTCGCATCCGGACTTGGGAACTTACGGGCTTATGCTCTTGCTCTTTTTGTTCCTTCTTTTCCTTTTCGCCGTCCTTCGCCTTGTCCTCGTCGCCTCCAGACTTCTCCCTTAAGCAGTGTTTGTGGGCTGGAATGCACGGTTAAGTACCTACCTCCTTGTTATCTTCCGTCTCTTCGTCGTTCCCTCGTTTCTCATCCGCTGAATTTGTCTCTGGCGACAATATTCGGGGACTATATGCGCAAAGAATCGGCACAGAATCTCACCCTTCTCGCGCTCCTGTTTCTTCTTTTCAGCATTCTCCCTTTCCTTCTCCTGTTTCTCCTTCCTGTCCTTCTCAGCGTCCGCCTTTTTCTCCTCATCCGTTTTCCAATCCTTGATGTCAGCCTCAGTCTACCAACATGTCAGACCACGCGCATACACCAGCCGAAAAGCGGCAAAACCAACCGTAGGCAGCACAAACCTCGCCAGGGCATGCCTGGACCCCGGCCCATCCCCATTCACAAACTTATAATTCACGTAAGCGGCCTTCGCATCCCTCACGCTCCAGATCTTCCTCCCCCCGTTCTCATCCACTCCCTCCTTGATGCACCGCGCGACCTCCCTCTCCAAATCATACAGCTCCTGCGGCTCCAGCGGGCTCTCACGCGAGTGTTGCGCGTGCGGGTCCTCCGAAATGCCCGCGCGCCGTCCATCGAGGCGCGCGTGTCCCGACTCCGCGGTCAAGCTGTGTGGGTTGGTGGTGTAGTGCTTCTCTTCGTGCTTGACTTCGTGCGGGGTCGCGTGCCGGTAGGAGGAGTTCGGCTTTAGGGAGACGGGGTGTCCCCCTGGGCCAGTGTAGTCCACAGGATAACCTTTGAAAGTACGTTTAGTGAGGTGCATCATATGCTATGAATACTGGGGGGAAGGCGAGTGGGACTCACGCTGTTCATAGTCGATATACTGCTTGTTGCTGTCTGACTGAGACATTGCGGGGGAAGGAGGGGAGCGCGGGGAAAGCCTGCCTCGCGGACTTTTATATGTCGGGCCGTGACGGGGCAAGGGAAAGTGTGAAGGGAAGTGATCATGATGCAAACCCAGTATGACACTCGAGCAGACTCCACCTCGATGAGGAAAAGCCGCTTCCCCATTTGGACGCAATAGAACCATTGTAAGTGCATCGCAGATTGGCTACCGCCGACGCCACCGATTCAAGGACTTTGTAGCCCTGAAAGCTTCAGCAATTCATTTTGCAGCAATGGTGCGGAAAGGTGTCCAGCACAGAGCGTTGCGGACACCTGACGAATAGGGTTTGTCCCGGTCAGAGACGGAAACCCTAACCTTACCACGTGCTGAGGCGGCTCATAAAGCGACACGAAAGCCATGATTTTATGCCGAGCCACAGATCGCGGGTACGAAGGAGCTAAGACGTGTATATCATACAACCCAGTATAACTCTCGAGGCGATTTAACTGACTCTACTCACTATGCACTGGGCCCAGCCTCCACAACCTCCTTCTCGCCCGCGACAATCCCCTGCCCTAACTCATCCTGCTTTGGCACGATAACCCCCGAGCTCTCCGACCCTTCGTCCTCCTCTCTCGTCTTCCCGCCATTCCCGCCCTCTACATTATCCGAGGCTCGGCCCAATAATCCCTTCTGCGCTTCATGGCGCCAGGCGACGAACCCTGGACGGACACCGTCCGAGCGAACCAATATCGCAAGGCGCACGGTGAGATACATCACGATCACGGCGGAGGCGAGGAAGAGGGCGGTGAAGAATAGGATTGTCAGGGTAGCTAAGAGGATGGAGGCTATTGCAACGTCAGACGGGCGCGCGATGCGATGCGAGAATTGGACTGACTGTACGTCGTGAGTGCGATCATTGATATCAAACACACACCGACGAAGGCGAGGAACGCAGCAGACGCGATGGTGAAAAGAGAGAAGCCGCTATACGTGTCCCGGAGCAGGTCATCAAAGAAAGAACAGATCATGATGGAATGAACGACTTGCATGAACGTCACGACGGGCAGAACGCTCAGTAGCACGAATATCGCGACAAACGTCTGGACATCACCCAAAGCCTTTACAACTGTCCTCCACGATCCGTATGTTCATATCTCACCGACATTGCAGGACGTTCTCTAGATGACGATATGCATGCCTCCACGACCGGGCGAGCGTATTGCTCTTCAAATCTGCCATTCGAAATATTAGTAAAAGGAAGGATAGTTATCTTCACAACGTTAACATGAGCATACCGGATAAATGAGCGTCGCACGTTCGACGCGTACCCATCGAAATGGTCTCGCAGGTCATCTTGAGCGGCTTTCGGGTCGTACGCAGCCATGATCACGTCCTTTCCTCGCAGTTTCCAGTATCCAGCCCAGAGACCAACTAGAATCTCGGCTTTTTGGAGAATAACTTAGCAAACGAACGAACGCAACAGCCTGCAGTTTAGTGGATTTTAGAGCAGCGCAAGAGGGGGGCGAAGTGAATTCACGTCACTCGATCACACGGCAATTGCCGACGCATACATCATCTCTTACGTAACTGTCAAGATCAAGTTACATATTTCTTCGCAGCTTTGAATCTTGACTCGATGCCAACCCTTGCCGACGCGCTCGACATATTGTGATTCTTTTTTGACGACTGGACGGGAGGGGCACTAGAATACACAACCATGAGCGGCGGGCGCCCGCCGAATGCGCTCGAGCGCAAGCTGCACCAGGCGGCAGTAGGGAGCGCTAACCATGTACGTCCCTGTCTCTGGTATTATGCGGAGTGTACAAATCCTTCCTTATAGACCTTAAGCCAGAAAGAAGTCGACGCGCTCGCCCCCGATGCCAGCGCGCGCGTCAGCGCGATCAACTTTCTCCTGGGGACGGGCATGCTAAGGCTGATGAAGGACGGGAAGGGGAACAATGTCTATCGCGCGGTGTTGAAGAAGGAGTTGGAGGTGTGCGTACCTAATTATGACGAGTGGAGGTGGCGGGAGCACTGAATGTGCGATGGTTTCAGGAAAAAGGACATGTCGGGCGAGGAGGCTATGGTATTGGGCCATATCCAAGCTGCGGGGAATGAAGGTACATCTGCCGTGCTCAATCAATGCTTGTCTGCGTGCCGAGGTGTCATATCTCATTAGGGATATGGACGAAGCACATCAAGGCCAAGACGGAGCTGCACCAAACCGTGCTGGATCGGTGCCTCAAGTCGCTCGTGCAGAAGCACCTCATCAAGGCCGTCAAATCCGTCAAAGTACGGACATAGATTTTCTTTCATTCGCGCGGATGGGCTCACTGCTCATGCTACAGTACCCCACGCGCAAGATCTACATGCTCGCGCACCTCGAGCCGAGCGTTGAGCTCACCGGCGGGCCGTGGTACACCGACAACGAGCTGGACACGGAGTTCATCAAGCTGCTCTGTACCGCGTGCCTGCGCTTCATTCGGGACCGAGTACGTTGCATTTCCTCCCGCACTCCTCAGTTTCCATTACAATTATTCGGTATGCTAGAGCCTCCCGAAGACAAAATCGTCGTCGTCTTCTGCGCACAGCCAGCCGCTCTACCCGATCTCGAACGCGCCGAGCTACCCGAACGTGAGTCAGATCCAGGCGTGGCTGAGCAAGAGCAAGATCACAGAGACGCAGCTCACGGTGGAGCACGTCGAGACGCTGCTGAACGTGCTGGTACTGGACGGAGAGGTGGAGAAGGTGTGCCTCCCTTAAATGTCATTTTCGTCCTCATTGCGTGCCTAAATATTATGGTATGGCAGCTGCCGGCGTTTGGCGGCGCCCTGTGGGAGTCGAACGCGGACAATCTGAAGGAAGATGGCAGTGGGAGTGAGAGCGAGAGCGAGGACGAGGTCAAGAAGAAGAAGCGGAAACGCAAGGGGAAGGACAGGGATGAGGACTCGGGCAGGAAGCGCAAGAAGAAGCGGGCGGATACCGAGTCTGACTCGGATGAAGATTCGGAGGGTGAGTCGAAGAAGAGGAAAAAGAGAAAGAAGAGAAGAGTCGAGGATACTGATGAGAGCGAGAGCGAGAGCGAAACGGAGAGGGAGCGGAGGAAACGGAAGAAGAAGCGGAAAGCGGAGAGCGACAGCGATAGCGAGGATGAAAGCGAGGCCGAGAAGACGAAAAAGAAACGCAAGAAGAAGAAGAAACGACGAGATGAGTCCGACACCGAGTCCGAGTCCGACGGCTCCGACTCAGATTCGGGCTCGAAGAAACGCAAAAGATCCCGCTCAAACACCAAGACGCGAAAACGCTCTTCTTCCCCCGCCGTCGATCTTCACGCAGTAGACGACGAGCTGACCGGCGGCGCATATGTATACCGCGCGGTCAAACAGGAGCGGCTGTCGCTGGGCCTGGGCCAGGCGCCGTGTGGGCGGTGCCCGACGTTTGATTTTTGCAAGACCGGGGGACCCGTGAACCCCCAGGAATGCGTGTATTATACTGAATGGCTGGGGAGGGGCACTGTCAGCGCGGAGGGCAACGTGTAGTGTATTTGTAGGGTTCTCAAAGCGTCGTAGTCAGGGTGTAGTACATGTTTGTCAAAGAGTTGTATGGGTAAACCCTAACCCTATGCGCACCTTTGGCCAGAAGGAGTTGGATCATGGCAAAGCAGGGTAACACGGACTTGGAAAGTGTTAAACGACGGGTCAATCAAGCCACTACATCAAGGTTCGATTTGATTTCCCCAGTCTACGTTATTATCTACAGTTCCAGCCGTTTGCAGATTGATGGGCCCACTTTTAAAAAATCATTTACAGTCGGACCACGTCGGACAAGCAATTGTAAGTCCCCGAGAGACGGAAACCAGACCATTTGGACTTCCCCACCTTCTTCCGACGTCCCTGGCACCCACTCCGACCCACTCCGACTATACGCGATTTTCTGACTTGGTGGTCTATCGATCTGCAAACGGCTGTCACTGCTCGGAACCAATGACAACATAACGAGTGAGCGCTCACTCTCGAAACGGGTACCTCTCGCTGCGGCCACTGCCACAGGAAGCTGCTGACTACTGCGCCAGCTAGCGTAATCGGTTCGAAGATCCTCCTTGGATTATCTTCTATGCACGATACAGCCAATCGTAAGACATGTATCTTAGTACCATTCCTAGTGAATCAAGCATTCGGGCTTTTTACTCCGTTCGAAGCTCGACCTCCAGTATCTGCGCTTACCGCTTGGAGCAGCGCTAGGCTATGCTTCCCAAGATGGGGAGTGTGGTATACCGTATATATGGCCTGCGTCTCACCGACCATGGTAATATTACCCTCTTGACCAACTGGCTGCGCCATGCCGAACGTCTCAGACAGAATCCCCATGACCACTTTTTCCTCGATTTCCAAGATTGACTGCGACGAGGAACTACGACTATCGATTAGCAAGGATGATGCTGGCACCATCTTTACCACGAGCCGACCTGTGTCCCTCGATTCGCCGTCTGGAGTCCAGTCAAAATACAGACTATATAAGCAACGTTTTGTCGGTCTCGCGGCAATTGTGAGTCGTCCGTACCATGTTCACCGCGTGTCATTGATCCATCCACGCCTCATCAGTTCTTTCTGAACGTTGTCGCCGGAATGGCCTGGCCGTGGTTCGGTCCCATTTCAAATCAAAGTAAGCAGTGTACTTAGGTATTCTTAGTCTTGTGACTGACTTCCTGGCTTTCCCCCCATTCAGCTTCTATAGAGTATGGTATCAGCTTGGACAGTGTCAACTGGCTCAGCAACACCTACGCTATTGTCTATGTACCGGCGGCAATCGTTGTCCCCGTCCTTGTGGCGCGGTATGGTCTTCGGACATCGGTAATCTACCCTGCTGTGTACGGAAAGAGCCCAGCTAAGCTCCCAACTCCAGTGCATCATTGCTACCATTTCTCTCTTTGTGTCAGCTTGGGTCCGCTATGGCTCTACTCCTCGCTCGTTGTCCCCGGATTCGGCATACGCCCTCCTTACTATCGGTCAGGCGATGGCCGCTTTTGCAGCGTCTGTCTTTCAAGTGATCGGCCCGAGATATTCAGAGACGTGGTTCGACCTCTCAGGACGGACGACCGCTACAATGGTTGTGGCAATTGGTAAGGATGCTTATATCGTATGAGTCCGCGGACTGCATTCTCATATCTGTTACAGCAAATCCGATTGGCAGTGCTCTCGGGCAACTCATCTCACCGATTGCAGGGACGACAAGGCAATCAGTGAGTAGCTCTCTTTATTATGAATCCATGGCCTAACCCGAATTTTTGACATTCAGATATTGATCCTTGGAATCATATGCACGGCCGTTACGCCAGCTGCTCTAGGGATTGGTAGCGCCCCACCAACACCACCAAGTAGGCGTTGCCCCCGCTTCGACGTTCGCTCTCGGTTTATCACTGAATAATCATCTTTCAGCTTATACAGCGTCACAACAAGCCCTCACTCTTACCTCCCTCTTACGTGCTATAGTGGGCAAAGAGAGGATTGGTGCGCCGGCATATATGACAGTTCGCGAGAGGGTTGATTTTGCGATCCTGATCATAGTGTTTGGCGTTCTGGTCGCGGTGTTCGTGCTTCTTTGACCCCTTCGTGTCCTGAAACTCAGGTCCTTCTTCTCTAGGACAAACACCTTTTCCATTCTAAGTGACCAGTACATGGTGCGTCTTATGCTCTGCCCTGAGCCTAAACCATCGACTCACGTTTCACGGGCAACAGAGCCCAGTTGGTTACTCATCAGACCTATCGGGCCTCATGGGAGCTACGCTCCTCATTGCCGGCATAGTAGCAGCCGTAGTCACCGCGCCCCTCTTTGACCGGGTGCTCACCCACCATCTCAGCACCACAGTCCGCGTCTCGTTGCCCATCATGGCCGCCGCCTGGCTCTCGTTAATCTGGGCAGGTCAGTAGTCCTTGAGCACTCTACTGCAGATCGCTGATCGTTCGCCTCCGGAGTTAAACCGCATAACGCTGGAGCGCTGTTCGCCATCATGGCCGTCCTCGGGGCGACGTCTATCACCATGTTGCCTGTCGCACTTGAGCTTGGATGCGAACTCACCAGGAATGCCGACAGCAGTTCGGCCTTGCTTTGGGCCTCGTAGGTTCCGACACTTCCTCTAAACGTACGAGAGCTGATCTTTTCCCTGTCCCAGAGGAAATCTGTTCTCTGTCGTCTTCATATTGTGTATGTATGCTTCACGTACTGGCTCCTTACTCCAACCGCTGACATATGTCTGTACTCAGCTGAAGGTGCGCTCAGAGCGGGCCCGGACGCCAACCCGCCCTACAACATGCGGAGAGCTCTCATATTCAACGGGGCCTTCGTATGGGGTGCTATCGCATTCGGCATCCCCTTCAAAGGCCAGCAAACGAGGCGAGCCCTAGATGAACAAGGAATCCTCGAGGGGCGACAAGAAACAGAGGCGTGATACTTGTATTCAGAGACCTCGACGGACTCCAGCATCTAGATACATGGACTTCAGTATGATAGAGCACTCTGCAGCTGATTATCTGCAACATTATCGTGTTTTATCACTGTACGGAGTCGCGACAATCAGTACAATCCTTAAAGAAGTCAGATAGTGACAACCAAGTACGAACGTCCCGGGACGCGTGCCAGGCGTTCCTTTTTTCCGTGTGCTGTGGCACATAATAGCTAGATATACTGCCACCTACCTATCCCTAATATGTCTTCGTCTTGATCAGCCCCTGCATCAAATCGAAACTATTCCCGTCTGGCTGCAGGTCAATATACTCGACACCCATTCCTCCGCCCGCCCTACGCTCCGGTATGGTCCTCAACAGCCCGTGTTCCGGCGTAATCCCACATATCCGCACATTCTGCGGCGGTGAGACGGAAGTAACCGTAACCAACTGGTCCCTGTATACCCGTGGCATAAGCTTATATATTACAATGGGAAAGGGAAGAATGGGCATACGAGTGCAGCCACCGTTCGAGGTATAGATCCATGAAGGGCTCAAAGGACCCACCGTGCTCCACAAACGTGCGCCACATCGCGTCGAACTTGGCGAGGATAGTCGCAGTGGTTGCCTCCATACTCAGGTTCGCCGCCGACTCTGGTGGCAAGAGCTGCGCGAGCGACAGCGTCGGCCGCGCATTCATCACGTTGAGCCCGGAGCCTACTAAATTCAGCCTAATGCACACCGCGGAGCAGTGTCCCTTTACGCACCGATCACAACCTCGACCTTCCCGCTCCCAAAACTTGTGTTCACGAGTATGCCCCCGATCTTCCTGTTCTCCCCACCCACAACCGCATACACGTCATTCGGCCACTTTATCCTCACCGCCGCCCCATACTGCTGACCGAGCACGGCGGGATCCCGACACGCCTCCGTCACTGCCAGGCTGAACAAATACTGCACAAACACGAGCTTCTGCGCGGGCACCTCCTTGAGTGACGGGCGGATCAAAAGCGAGATGGGAAGGGACCCGAGCGGGGAGAGCCACACGTTGTTCCCGCGCCCGCGCCCCGTGAGCTGGCGGCTCGCGAGCGAGAGGAGCGGCGCCGGGAGATTGCTTAGTAGGCGCGGGTTCCTACGTAAGCATGGGGGAATCCGTAAGTCGGTCCGCAGGGTTGGGAGAGGGCACTTCACTTGTCAAGCATCGTCTGCGTGCTGGTGACGACTTCCGCGTAGAGGAGCGCCTCCCCCATGCCCCACTCGCCCTCGGGAGCCGCGTCCGCACCCAAGCCCTCCTGCGCCCTTGCGCGCTGGAGCGCGGCGAAGTACTTGCCGACGTCGAACAGCGGAGTGTGCTCGCTTGAGGGGCGCTCGGTGGGGGTGCACACGATAACATGTTTGGGCTGCCAGTTAGCTTCATCCGGCTCTCCGGTGTGCTCGAGCGACCGCACGCGTGCTTCACGCAGCTGATCCAGACCTGCAGAGAAAGGGTGGAAGGCGAACGTGTCATTCGTATCCACGAGGGTCGCCGATCCAGAGCCCATGTCCACGCCGATGGCGCTCAGAACCCGCGGGATGATGTCGGCCCTCGAGGTCGGGGCGATAAGGAACTGGGGCAAGGGACAGCTGGGAGGCTTGTCCTCTGGTAGGTGCAGGCCTAGCTCGCGTAAGGTATCCCGGAGCAAAGTCATGCGGACTTGCTCTGCTGCTTTGATTTCTTCTGAGGTCAGTGACGACCCTATATCCGCGGTGACAGGGTATTCGAGACTCGGGGACCAGAACGCAGCCTTTCCACCGTTTTGTGTATGACATACCACGCCAGCGACTTCGCTGTCTGCGTACCGAGAAAGAATCTTCGTTGACCCCACTTCCTCCACACCGCTGAATTCACTCCATCCGTCATGGTACACGTTCCCCCCTTGTTGCAAGGGCTTCCACTCGGACGCATCATCTTTGCTGCGAAACATAGGATAGATGGTAACACCGGCAGTCTTGTCTTCGAACCGCAAGGCCTGATGCCCCAGATCGCTGCTGCCTTCGAGTCCAGTACGAGAACCCCTCAGAGACGCCCCAGATGACAGACCTAGATACGCCCCACCGTCCTCCACATAGCTTTTAACCGCATGGACTGCCTTTGCTGACGATAGCACCGCCCGACAGGAAGGAAAGACGAGGAGAGCGCAGGCCGTGGACCAGGGGTGGTCGGCGAGCGACTGCTTCGTGACGGCCTGGACGGTGTAATTGGGAAGGAGGAGGGAACAAAACGTTGACAGGGTATGACTGAGAGAAGCGGTGAGCACTTCCGGGCCTGTGTAGACTAGGACGTTCATCCAGATCCTGCTCGAGATGGTCTGAGTCGAGTTCTGTTTTATTGGTGTAGATCTTGACGAATACGGCAGGTCTGTAGGACCCGGGTCACCTCAGATTATTCGAGATTCAAATTGAAATACAGTCGACTCTGTCTTAACCCATACCTGTCATAACCCATAACCTGTAATAACCCATAGGTTTTTGGCTTCCACCGACATGGTAGATAGTAAAAACCCATAAGTCTGCCGTATCCCATAACCCATAGCTTTTTGAAGGGTCATAACCCATAAAACAACCTATATTAGGAAGGTACAGGTCTCCTTCTCACGAGAATCTGGACCATCTGGACCCTTAATTTTTGGTTCTCGTGGTATTTCAGAAGATAACCCATATCAGACTCAAGATTCCGTATCTAAACGGTGTCATAAACGACGTCCGGCCTATACCGGATAGGCTGTCTGTCACGCGTACTAGGTAGTCACATAATGTCACACGTTCTGGTAACCCATAGTCTGCAGAAACCCATAACTTTTGGGTTCCACGACCCGTTATGGGTTAAGACAGAGTCGACTGTATTCGCAAGCCGCGCTGGGCAGGTTTTCAATCTACCCAAAATCAGCAGAGCTGCAGGAAGGCGGTCAGTAGTTGGAATACAAGATTGGTAGCGGACATTAACCACCTTGCTAGCGTTTCCTTGCGGGATCACAGCAGTCTCTGGGAAAACCAGTGATAATCTTGGGTGCCTGTAGGAGCGGTGTGGGGCGATATCTACTGTCCACCTCTTTCAATGCTGGTACGGCGAGTCCCTTCAGACGGGTTTTCTGGGCTTCCTTGCGCGGCGACTTCCATCGTCGGAGGACGAATCATTGATTATGATTTCTCCAGGAAATACAACACGGAAGCTTATACTCGCAGGTATGTGCCGGAGATGATGGTGGTTCGAGGTCAAGATGCATTTATTGGAAGTTTGGAGCATCCATGCAAGGGCGCGACGCGTCACGGTCGAGGACGTGTTTACGCACGTGACATTGAGCTAAATAAGCTCAAAGAAGCCCAATTTGTCCATAGTGGCGGGAGGGAGTGCGGGCGATGGATCGGTCGATGCAGCGCCCTGTAATTGGCGAGGATGGCTGCCTGGAGATAGAGGAAGATTTATCAGAAGGCCCGATATTTGACCGCAAGTGACTTTTCTAACCTCTGCTCATGTCGCATCTGACCCTGCGTCAAGGAACAAATCCTTCCCTGTGGCCGAGCCTCTCCGGCGGAGTCTCCGCCACCTCCTCCCCCGACTTGACGTGATTGTTACGCAGCAGATATACCGACATACTACTGTTCTATCCCAGTTTGTTTGTCGTCGAACGTGGTCATATTCCCGTCAGTGCAATTACTACAATCAATAAATGTCGAAGGAGTATTAATCTTTTTCTGCATCAGCGTCGCCGAAATCGACCCTCGTAAGTGCATTCACAGATGATAATAGCTACGTTGAGCATGAGTAAGTAGTCGCTGGCGAAATTGTTCAAAGAAGAGGTCACTCTTGCTATACAGGCTAGCCGCTAAGGTCCCAGTCGACACTCTTGCCTGCTCCGCGAGACAACGTCTCCGCTCCTGTTGTCGGGCACCTGTCAACACTCGTACGTACCTTTTGACCGCATCCCATTTCACTTGGCCCCCATTCTCGTCCATTGCCCAGATAGTTACGAGGTTCGGAAACAGTCTTGACAAAAACATCGCTACCGCCAGTGGGTCGCTAACACGGGATTGCCCAAGCTGCAAATGACTGATCTCGAGGTTATATATCATCGCTTCCTCAGGGGTTGTAGCCTCGTAACCATCGTCCATAGCGTTGATAAACAGGCCTGCCAGGCTGAGACTGCTGAGGCGGGGACAATGCTTCCCGAGTGCGGCGAGCGCCTGGAGTGAGAAGCTCGGCTCAGCCTCCGCATGTGTGTATGCCGAGGTAGCCAGGGTGAGCTGTCGCAAATGAGGTCAGGCTTGGGCCATCTCCACCAGCGTTGCATCTTGCCCCGTGAAGCCGCCTTGAAACAGAAGCTGCAATCCTTCGAGGTGCCTCAAGAGACGCAGAGGCTGGAAGAGGTGTAATGGTACCAGAGTGCGTGGTGAGTTGAACGATCCGCGGATAACTATGCCGCGCAAGGATTCTAACAGAGGAAAGCAACAAAGACGATCGATGAGAAGCATGATATCACCGAACGTAAAGTCCTTGACTCCCACCTGTAGAGAGCAGAGGGGACGCTGCCGCAGATAATCAAGGAGTTCAGCGCAGGTGACTAGACTGTCTGCCTTGAGGATGAGATGGCGAAGGGCCGGATAGGGATGGCCCGCATTACGACTCGACCAGAGCAGCGCGGTGTGATCCTTCATCAAGGTCATCTTCAGGGTCTGCACATTTGGTAATACTGCTATTTGCACTATATCGTTGGCAGTTAGAGGCAGGTCCCATTTCAATGTCGAGAGGCTAGTGAAGGATGGTGTGGATCGGCATAGCAGCGCATACATGTTCACTCTGTTGTGTAATCCACACTCAAAGGCTAAAGACTTCAATGAAGGAGTTTGTGCTTGGACGAAGTCCAGGAAAGAGGCCAGGTGTCTCGATGGAGAAAAGGGACCAAGGAGACTAATGTGCAGCTTGCAAAGATGAGGCACAAGGAAGAACGATATGTATGCAAGTGTGTCGGTCCTCAGACACCAGTGCAGTTCTTGAAGGTTCGGAAAGCATGGTGTCCGGTGGTGAACGGAGAGTGCTGCTATGACGTCCTGGTGGTCTGCATCCCCAATGAGGATAAACCGGACTTTCACAGTGTAAAAACAAAATCGGTCCCACTCGGAGGGTAAGGGATATCCACGGAAAATCTGGCATCTCGCAAGAAGTGGATGCATTGTATTATTACGCAGGGATACGAGTTGCGCTGGTAAGACACACTAGTTCCCCATTGTCCGTGACCTCCCACAAGTCCTTCGGCATGCATCGTACAAGATTCCCTAGGCTTCCTTGCTGCCACCACAGGGCATTCAAAGCCGGTTCTTGAAATACCTTACACATTCGAGCGAGTGCATTCAAGGCAGAGGCATATTCGTCGTAGTTGGGAAGAGATACATATAGCTCTGAGTCGTCGTTAAGACTGGCAGCATAGTAGTCGTCAGCAAGAGACTCGACCACTTTACCTATGATCTCCGTGATATAAAGGCAGTGATGCATAAATGGAAGGGAAAAGTGCCCTTAGCGTCAGGGAACAGCACAAAGCCAACAGGTCCAACACAGATATAAGAGCAATAACATAAGATCAACGTCAATGATCGGCTGGACTTGGTTGCAGGCAGCCAGAGCAGGGGCAAAGATGCCGACGTGAAGTCGGCACTTCCCAGTAGTGGACTGTCAATCTATAATACAAAAGGTGGTTGCCTTTCCCACGGGGGATAAACGCAGCATTGACTTTTATGGCAGTCGGGCTGTGGCTTAATTCCGATTCCCCTAGAATCGGTTTACTGTTCAGTCGTTGTATAGGGCTCTCTGGTGATCGAAAATTGCCAGCGTTGAACAGGGGTTATACCCCTTATAGCCCAAATTACCTTAACTGTAACGGGAGCACCCTCCTTAAATGGAAGGTCCACCGATCCAGATCTTACCACCATCAGCAAATAGGAGCTATTACCCCTCATGTCAATAATTACCATTTGTGAATAGGGACTAATTCCAGATATGTAGTGTGGTCTCTGCACGGCACGATCCTTTCAAGATCTCGGGCCAATGGCACTGTCAGGCATCCCCCGGCTGTGTGTGGAATTGCGCCGATGGCAAGTACCCTGCTGCCTACGGCACAAGATTGGTAAGTTACATATGAGGCATAGTATTAGTACTGGCAGCATTGAGGCCTCAGCCTGACGACGTGCATCTCAGCTACAGTATGCATGTGCACTGACTCAGTGACTCGATAGT